TAAACCGTGCTACTGTCTGAATGCCCTCACCTGACACACAGACAGTAAGGCCTGTGTGTATTACTACTGCAGCATCATCACACACGTACACAAAAACAAACAGGAAGTTGGATTTACACAATTCAAAACAAACAGCAGCAAAGAATAAAATGCTGTATTGTATGGGACACTCTTAATTTGAAAGTCCAGGTATTGAACTCTTTTTTTCTGCTCGACATCCTCCTCTTTTTTAATTTGCTGATTATTTTAAGCCACCCCGCCCACCTCTATAACTGGGGGGTGACATTTTGCTTTTAAGTTGTCAAAGAGCTGGAGAGAGGCGACGCCCACTTAGCAGCACCTCGACATGACCCAAAGAGCTTCAAGGTCCACAGCTATCGTACGATTAGAGTAAGCCTGTTTGTTAGTCAGTGTCAGGATGAATAAACCTGTTTTCTTAGCCCGCATAGCAGCGGGAGAGCGCTAAAGGCTTGCAGCATCGTGGTTGGGAGTCCAGAAGAACGGGACTACTCTGGTTCTGCGATCGTGTCGGTTCCCTGTCAAAAGATGGACACATGTCCGAGTAAAGAGCTAGATCATCTCCAAATGCCCCCTAGAGGCTCGTTGTTTTATCAGCCGCTGCAAACGTATCCAGTTGGTGATCCTGAACGCGTTTTTTTGCTGCGCAGAGGGAAAGACACTGAGGACACCCCCACCCCCCAGGAAGAAGTTATATTCTCTCTCTCCCTTGTTTGCCGAGCGTTTGTGGTGATGCAGAACATGAGACCTGTGCTGGAGTCCCCTTACCTTCTGTGTGACTCGGTGCATCGTGTGTGCGTGCGTACATGTGTGTGTGTGTGTGTGTGTGTGTGTGTGTGCTAGCTGTTATAGAGAAGGGTCTGGGCAGTGTTCTCTTGTCCATGAACAGCCCCCAGAGTAAAGTAAACACAGCGGCTCTTTTCTCATCCCAGCCGTCAGCAGGCTCTCCCCAGGCCCGCGCCAGAGACCACACACCCAGACCACACACACACACACACACACACACACACACACACACACACACACACACACACTGCTCAGACCTCTTTGCAGATCCTTCCTCATACTCTCATACTCTCATACACACAGACCACACAACACCAGCTCGGGCCCCTCGCACGCAACCTCGCTGAGCTGTCATTTAGCCTGGCGCAAGTGTGTGTGTGTGTGTGTGTGTGTGTGTGTGTGTGTGTGTGTGTGTGTGTGTGTGTGTGTGTGTGTGTATTTCTAGGATTAGGGGGGGTAGGACAAAAACACTCCTGGAAGCAGAATCAGGATTATACAAAATAAAGAGCCCTGGTCTGGGCTCCCCCTCCAAACATGTGGGATTGATGAAGGATCTACCAAGCTCTGGTTTTAGGCCCGTTAACCTCTTATCTTCATCATGTCACACTCGTTTCTCCTTCATTTCCTCTGACAAGCACGGGGCAGCAGAAACACGGCGAGGTAAATCCCGCTGGGGGCTTCTCGTTAACGCTGTGATGTCGGGGCGACCCGGGTTGGGAAAGAGATCCCAAAACATTCCTCAGGAATCTTTTTTTCTCCAGGAGGTTGAATTCATCTGGTCACGGTTTCAGACTCATCCCATCAGAATTTGTGCTGATTTATCTTCTAAAAACCTCAAATAAATATTGTTTGTTTTTTACTTCTTTAGAATTTGTGTTTTATAAGTAAATGTATTTTTTTACGTGTAAAAAGTTCATTACAGTTACCAATGGTTTTAAAATGCACCGTGAAGTTCTAGTTGACCGTTTCTGCGGCAAAATGTGTTGTTTATAAAGATCTCTAAACATAAAAAGGCTCCTTTATTTTGTGCGCTTGTTTATTCACATAAATTTCCTTAATTTATGTGTAAAATCAAAGTGACTGACTGTTCCTTTACGTTTCTGAAGTAGAATAGATTAAAGCTGTTTATTTGTTCTCACACGCTGTAACTTTGATTTAAATGTTGCACCATCTCAGCCACCCTTTCCAAAAGTCTGAAGGATTAACAAAATAAAAAGATTCTTGAGCTTCAGTGTTTGGTTTGTTGGGTTTTCTGTTGTCGTAAAATACTTGTTTAGATTATTTTCTTCAGTTTTGTGAAGTTATTAAAACAGATGTGCAGCACATATCCTCCTAAATCTTTCACACACTGGATTTCCTAAATGTGGAATAGCTAAGTAGAAACCAGTGAGTGTTTCTGGGATGGGCCGGGCCCAGTTTGGTGGCTCCCGGGTTCCCACACACACCCTGACTCTAGAAAGTCGTGTCGTTTGTAAAACAAGCATGTTTGTGCAGGAAGATTTACGGGTTATATGATAAAAGTAGGTGATTTGAGAACAAGGTAAACGGATCCGCTTCCTTCCTTCTAGCGGAAAGCAGCCACGTTGTTAGTTTTTTACTTCCTCCTACCCAAGGCCGGATTAACCATACGGGCAACTAGGCAATTGCCCAGGGGCCCACGAACTCTAAAGGGCCCAGGGCAGCAAGGGCACGAGCAAAACAACACTGTATCTGTAATCTCCCGCTTTATATTAAACTAGGGTGACCGTAGGTCCTCTTTTCCCCGGACATGTCAACTTTTCACTTTTCACTCTCTGTCGGGGGGGGGGGGGGGGGGGGGGGGGGGGGGGGGGGCTTGTCTTGTATTTATGAAAATGTCCGGCTTTTCATCCGTGAGCGGGGGTCGAATTATGGGGGAGCTGTATATCCTACACATCCGGGGGAGCCGGATAAAAAGTTTTCTACCTATATTACATCATTCATGAACTCTTTTGAGCAGAGAGCACAGAGAGCGGCAGAGCGATGATCGTTGTTGCGCAGCGCTCCAGGCTGCTGCGTCCAGCGCACGGTCCATTCTCAAAGTGGCGCAACCCAAAAACTATAATTAACACACGATCGTTCATGTCCGCTCATGTTCTCTACTTTCTGTCTTATTTGTGCCTGAAGCGCTCTGCTACTGTGGAGCTCATCACCTGCACTGCGGAGATTTCACCTCACTGACGCAGCATCGAAACGCGCTCTCCGCTTTGCGGTCAGGAGATCCCTTTGATCTGCTCAGAAGTAACTGATGAGGTGAAAAAGTAACAATCCAGGCAGCAGATTTTCTGGAGAATTAAGAGGAGATGCAGGAAGATGAGAGACAGACAGGACAGGAAATAGTTAAATAAAAACAAGAAAACATAAGTAAAATGTAGATAGATTTATCTCCACTACACGTTTTTACCTGTATAAAACAATAAGTTATACACATGTAATATTTATACATCTGATACAATTCAGATCACCTTCAACACTCAGTCACACACCCAGGGCCGTTTCAAGACATTTTGGGGGCCAAGGCAAAATGACCCCCCCCCCCCCCCCCCCCCAACTGGGCTCCCCAGAAGCCTCTGTGTAATTTCTACCCTCCAGCAGTATTAGTTATACAGTGTTTATAAAAGCCCCTCAGACATTACTGACATGTTCTAATATTATCAGATGAAAAACTAAATTATCAGACATGCTGTCTCATCTGCTGCTTTTCTAAACTTGCAAAAAGTAACAAAACCGATTGAAAGCCACTATTTGTGGATTCTCTGAAAGTTTCCGTGGAGTGTGTGACAACTTATTTTATCATTGATCCTATCGTCTAATCTCACAGCTGAAACAAGCGTCCTTAATAATCTGTGCACAGGAAGCGTACCGATGCTGTAGTAAAACAAAAGGTATAATAATTTATTATTAATAAAACCTTGTTGCAGCACTAAAGCAGAAAAATGAGATTTTGCATTAAATATGCAAAATATTTACATATGAATTGTTTTAGAGCCCTTTTATTGGCAGAATCTGATATTAATTTAGTTCTTACAAAAAAAATGGGTCCCAGCATGGTTTGTGTGGCGTTGCCATAGTGTGATGTCATAGGCACAGATCCCCTGTCCTCCTTTTTGGAAATGGAAATATGGTCACCCTATTAAACAAACTGTCCATCCGGGCTTTTGCGCTGCACAGAGACGCTTCGCTGCCTACGACTCTGAATGTCGGTTGAGAGTCATTCTCATGCAGACTGACCAATGAAGAGAGGGCCTCAAGTTAAGACTGTCCTCATTGGTCAGTCCACACGAGGTGGGTCAAAGGTTACCCTGAGCGGGTTACGTGATGTCAGGTATTCAAGTATTGAGTATATTTACTGCATATTACAGTAAAATATTCTGTATGTGACCATATTATGGTGATCCTTGGGTCATGATGATGGGGCCCTTGAATATTGTTGCCCAGGGTACAACAAAGTCTTAATCTGGCCCTGCTCCTACGTCAGAGGCTCTTTCGCCAGTCCAGCAGGCCTGTAATGGTGTGAAGGTTTGCTGCCTTGAACTCGCTGAAGGTCCGCTCCACATCCGGTCCTGCTGTTTGCAGCGAGTGTGTTCAGGGCTGCAGAGCAAACGGGCGGACTTCGGGGTTTGGTCGTTGTTTTTCAGACCGGGCACTAATTTATTAGCAAACGTGTGTGCCGCTTAAATACGTCTTTTCTCTTTTCTCCGCTCCAACAAGCTCTCATTTGCACGGTTGCTCCTTCTTTGGTTCCGTAATCGGTGCAGCATTGTGTGGGCTTATGAGGAATGATTTGGCAGAGCAGGTTTATTTATTCTGCACTGTGAGGTTTACATTCTTCCTTTCCTCTGCTTTCTGTCTACTTCATTCTTGGCTCTCTTCTCCATTTTTGCTTTTATCACAGAGATGATTCTTGCAATGCACACATTGTTTGGAGACCTACATGGTAGGAGATGAGCTGTGAGCCAAACGCTGGAACTACAGGTCTAAAAACTTAAATGTCTGCCTTCTGGGGATGCTAAATTTACAGTTTATTAATGGAATTATGCTGAGATCGGAGATTATATTGTAGGATTATCGTTTGTTATCGTTATGAATGATGTGATAATTATTTTTTCACTCATTTGTCTGTAAAACATGGATTTTGGGCTTTCTACTGACTTTGTTTGTTGAATCTTCTTGTCCAGGTTCTGACAGACCCAGCGTTGTAGAGACGCCATGTCACGTTCACGTCAGCCACCGCTGGTGACGGGCATCTCGCCCAAAGAGGGCACAGCCTGGACCAAAGTCACCATCCGAGGAGAAAACCTGGGAACAGGACCGGCAGATCTCGTTGGTAAGGACTTTAGCCGATGACGCTTTGTCTTGAAGGGCTTGGGATCTCGCGTTGCATTCTGGGACGTGGCTGACATCTCCATGGCATCACGACTGTAAACAAACCGTGAAAACAAACAGTACATTGCAGAGAAGAAGCGGATTTGGTTGAAAGGAAGTGTTAAACCACAAGTTGAAATCCCAAAAAGGATGCAGAATTTACAGGGATACTTTAACTCATTCACTGCCAATTAGCATTTTTTTCACTGTGTGGGCGTCGGACGAGCCCCCGCACCGTGAGAACAAACATCTCAGCTCTAAAGCCGATCTTCATCCGCATACGTCACATGTCACGTGATCAGGAAGCAGAACATCCATGTGTTAGGAGATCGTTTTGGGCCGCTGCTGTAAAAAAAAAGTGAGGCGCGAACCGGAAAAGCTTCTGCCGATCACAATTCAACAACGGATTATGAAAGAACGGATAACGCTCGAAACGAGCAGATTCTTTCTGATGTAAGAGGTGAGTCTCCTCTTTGTTTTGGTTGTTTTGGCGTCGACATCATCCTAGCGCGCAATGTTCTGTCACTCTTTTAAAAAAAAACTGTAAAAACAGTGAGAAACGCTGGCAGCAAATGAGTTAAATAGGGAAGGCAGGAACCGGTATGTGGACAAAATCAGCACTATAAACGGTTTTGATCCATATGAAAGACCCAAAACTGGAGCACCAACAACGTGTTGCTGCTGCATCTTATGTTTATGTATTTAGCAGACGCTTTTGTCCAAAGCAACGTACATGCAGCTAGTAAATCTATCAAAACTGTCATCCCGTAGAAGCGTGGCAGTAGTTGTGTTTTCGTGCGCCGCATTAGCCTACTGGTGTGTGTGTCGTATGCATGCTGCAGAACTGATCTCATCCGAGTCTTCTCGCTCCAGTGCTGCAGCTTCTAACGCGTCTGCTGTGTACCATGCGGCCGTGTGCGCACCGCCACATTTAAAAACGACTTCCAGCGTTCAATCCATCGAGCTTATGTAGTTAGAGCAGGGCAAGCACCCCAAGGGGGAGGAGCAGAAATTCCCCAAACCAAGTAAGCCTGTCTGGGAGAGAACTATGTCGAAGTGCAAACGCGGCGCATTATACCTTGTATGTCCCTAAACAGCTACGGTATTTCAAGATGGCGCATGACCACGGAGCATTGACCACAATTTATAGATACTAAAATGTAAAAATTCAAGCTAAAACTAGAATATTTTGAATAGATTTAGGTGAAAATATGAAAGAATAGGACATGTCTGTGAATGTGACGCACCGTATTTGATAGCAAACGATTACGCTGCTTGAATTTTAATCACAATTAGAATCTTGGTTTTGAATGTTATAAAGGTTAAAAGCCCATCATTTATCACACACACACACACACACACACACACACACACACACACACACACACACACACACTGTTGTGTGGTGAGATTGGTCCTCTGTATTCGACCCATCCTCGTGGCGGCTAGCGGTGAGCCGTTCTCGGTAACTAACAAAATGAGCCGATTATTTGCTCCCCCCTCGCGGTTTACTCCAGTCCTGCTCCGAGTTGCAAATCAATCGCACCTCCCACACAGTGTTGCAAATGTAGCAACTTCGTCGCTATTGCTAACAACAATCTGACGCACAACCGATGGACATTTCTGGTAACCTACGGCTAATCTCTGTATTACATTGTCTTCGATATTCCCTGCAGGTTAGCAAAACACCGAGCCTGTGCTCCAGACTGTCCTGGACATTAGGAAAGGGAACGATGTGCAGCACGATCGCGTTACATCTGCTGACCAATCACAAACCTTTCTCGGTGGATCTCACTCACTCGAAACAGCTGCTTTACAAGCTAAATACATTCAGGAAACAGCGAGTCCTATCTGACTATCTGAAGTAGATTTATACCAGGGCTGCACAATATATCGTAAATATATCGTTATCGCAATATCAGCATGTGCAACATGCATATCGCAAAGAACAGATAAATATCGCAATGAATGGTCAGCTCGAATGTTTGCTACACATAACGCATTCTGTCCATCAAACAGAAGCATGATGTTTTTTTAACAAATCAAATAGAGCTCTTCACCCATTTGGCCAATGGGGTGGGTTCTCATAGGTTAGATTAATTTTGATGGTTAGCAAACACCAGAGTTAGCTTAGTTCTGCTCTTTCTGCTTTTCCCAGGATCCACGGATCACTTTTTCTTTTTCCCTTTCCTCACATCTTTTGCTTTTCTCATCTTAATGATTTTTTTATTTCTTTGATTTTGATTATTTTCATTCCTGAGTTAAGTTTTTATTCATCGCATGTGATATCGTCATCGCAATATTAATCACTGTTATTGAATATCGCAGGTTTTCCTAATATCGTGCAGCCCTAAATTTATCTTGTTTCAGGGCTGCAAACTGTGAGCGTCAGACAGGCGTTTCTCTGTCTTCCTGCACTCTCACGCCACACCTCCAGTTTCTCAGGCTGGTAAATAATAATAGTTCATGTCTGTGGGCGACACGTTGCACGCGCTGCTGTACACACTCCCCTATGGCACCTCAGGGCTACGTATTTATTATGCAGCAGGTTGTGGAAGTTCACTTCAACATAGAAGTTTATATGTTTCTGTTTATTTTTGTATTACAAATGTTTATCTCTTTGTTGTCAGTATTTGTTCAGGTCTGTATTGGGTAGGCTTAAATAAGTTAAACGTCAACCTTTAGGGCATGAACTATGAGGAAGTGTATTGGGCCTTTCACACGAGGAATCGGGAGTTGTTTGGTTTTTTCTTTATTTTTAATTACGTTTTCTTTTCCTCTGATTGTGCCCTGTGCAATGGTATGACCACATAAATACATTTAAAAAAATCCTCATTAATTAAATAATCGAGATCTCAATTTCAGTCAAAATAACCACAATAATCCTTTTTTGCCTGAGTTGAGCAGCCCTAGAAAACAAGTAAAATATCTCACACTGCAGCTTTAAATGTCAGCCACAAACGTGTTTTATACAAATATTTTATTTGTTACTTCTGTTCCTTTGAGGTCGTAAAGGTGGAGCGCCACTGAAGTACTACGGGTTTGATTTTCTTTGAATAAAAATCATTTAGGTTTCAGTACTGTTTATATTTTTGTTTAAATATGTTGATCTTTTTTAGCGAATTTCCCATTTAAAAAAATCAAGCTTTAAAGGGACATTATGGAAGTGTGACAGCCAAAACATGTATAGAAATAATAAATGTCTTCTTCATACGTTCTCCTGCAATGCCCTGGTCCTGTAGAATGAGCCCTGGCATTTTTACTGTGATTGCCTGTTTTTCTGTAAAATCACAGAAAAAGAGAGATGCTCGGGTCGAGCAGGCTGCTTCATGCGCGTTCACGCTCAGGCATCGCCCGTAGCATTTGCTATCCGTAGCTTTAGCAGCAGAGAGAGAGGCAGTGCCACTTTGTCGCTGTTCCTAACGCCTAGTGACAAACCTAGCTACATTTCTGAGGACCCTTAGCTACTTTCTGTAGAACTTTCTTCTAGATATTTCCTGCTAATTAGCAACAAAATAGCCATTTTCACTCCCAACCGTTCTTTGAACGTTGTTTCAGCTGTCATCAAGGATATAAATGTTACAGATGCCAAAGACGTCACTGTTGCTTTAGCTCAACTAGTTAGACGTCAGACTCTCATGCAGAAGACCTGGGTTCGATTCTGGATGTGAACATGGCTTATTTGGAGTTTCTTTTTTACATTAATGGTATATTTTTTTACAGTAAGACGCCCAAATTTTTATTTGAGACTCGCCGAACGGCATTGAATTCACAGATAAAAAAGATGTGGGTTCAACTTTCATTTTGGAACAATTTTTCAAGCAAGGGAAGGGAATGATCTGAGCATGCAGGAGGACTGACCCATCATGAACCTTTGTCGGCTGTGCTGAAGAGAAAGCTACAGAACCAAATTATTTAGTTAATTAGCTGCACGTTCTCCTGTTCTCTGTCCTCCGGGCCACACACACACACTCACACACACACACGGTATTTTCGTTAAGGAGTGTGCACGTACAGCATGCGCGCCTCGTGCACGAGCCTACTATTGAAGCTGCCGTTACGCTTTTGGCCTGAGGGGGCAATCGCGAGCATAAAAATTCAAAAGTCCGTAAAGTCCCTTTAATTATAAACCCAGAAGAGAAACCTCACATTTTTAAATAATACACAATATATTTATTTAAATAAATTTTTTAATATTATTCGTTGAACTCTACAAGAGTGAAATCTGTCTTTTGTGTGTGATTCCTAAAATAACGTTTTCTGAGCTCTACAGATGAACTACCAGCTTATTATTGTTGTTGTTATTATTATTATTCCCTCTACCTGAACTCAACCAGCACCCCCCACCCCCACCCCGATTCAGACTATTAGATATGCACAAATGTGTGTGAGTGCTTATGTATTCAGACAAAGTGGCCGGTGGAGAACAGAGGCAGGAAATGGGCTCTAATGGGCGTATTATTCACGGTTTTATGGCCTATTTGTTGATCGGCTCTTACGGGCTTTTCTAACCTTTTGATGACACACTTGTGAAGCGCTGCAAATCCTCTCAGCTGGAAATGTCAAAGTAGTCTCGACTCTTTCTTCCCGTGCCCAAATACTCTTCGGGGAAGGGGGGGTTAACAGGAGGCTGACGGGCGTCAGGGCAGAGTGCACGTTGTGCCAGTAATGAGCCACTTAGCGCTGAGAGGCCGTGCACGTTCGCTTTAAAGACAGATGGAGGAAGGTCAAGGCCACCCACACCCACCCTGACCCCAGCGTGAACTTTGACCCTGGTGACAGTTTGACTACACGTGCTGATAAACATCACTGCAGTCTGAGAGAGCTTGTGTGTGTGTGTGTGTGTGTGTGTGTGTCCCTGCCCCTGCCACACTTAGTTTATTTGTTCCGTCTCTCCCTTCCGTCTCAGGTCTGTCCATCTGCGGCCATAACTGCATGCTGACAGCTGAGTGGATGTCTGCCAGTAAAATCGTTTGCCGCGTGGGTCCTGCCAAAGACGACAAGGGAGAAATCATCGTCACCACCAAGTCCGGGGGTCTCGGCACCTCCACCGTCTCCTTCAAGCTGCTCCGACCGGACAGGATTGGTGAGACTCCAGAGACAAAACGTCCTCGTGGGTCAGACTGAATATTTGTTGGTTTGGACACAAAAAAGAGACCGGAGAGACGTCTACGATTGGGGCTGGAGTTACTTTACTTCTCGTTCGTGAAACTTTTGATTTAGTGGGACTTTTCACATTCGATCCTGATCCGTCTGAGCTTCACCTGCCGCTCAGACCGGCTGTTCGTTATTATTTTAGTTCAAATTAAACTTTATAATGATCTGAAGTGTTTCATGCATGACTTTTAACCTCCTCAGTCTTTGCTGAACGTTGAGTTTTTGAACATCTTAGACGTCTAAAGATGAACTCTGAGTTTAAAATTCATAAAATTCATATTTAACAAGAAAAAAACTAATAATAATAATAAATGGTAGCAGGTATACAGTCAGCACCCACGTGGGTAATATTATGGTCTGTTTGTGTGTGAAACATGCTGTATGTGAGGACATATGGGACATGTCCAGCGTCTGCCTCTCGCCCGTCCTGCAGGTATCCTGGAGCAGTCGGCCGTGTGGGTGGACGAGATCAACTATGACATGAGGAGGGATCGCAACAAAGGCCTCTCGCCCCTCTCTCTGGGTCCCAGCAATCCGCTGGGCATCGAGATAGACAAGTATGGATCCAAACTCTACCAACACACACACACACACACACAACCCAGTCAAACGGTCATAAACACCAGCGCCCTCGTCGCTGAGTCATGGTTTACATCCATAAACAGAAACAAACTCTCCTCATGTGCCAGCATGGCAGTGGACAGCCTCTAACCGCTCCACACAGGGAGTGGAAACTACATCATTTTGTTTAAAGATGATAAAACGACATTTGGAAAGAAGCGACGTGGCCTCAGAGCCGGCGATGCCTCCCACGCGCGGGGGGGATGCGGAGGCGGCAGTACTTGTGTTGCCAGATTCTGGCGTCTCTGGCTCTACTTTTGTTTGGTTTGAAGGGGGCGGGGGCAAGTGACCGCTGGTGGCCGCTGAGACCCGTAAAGAGGCCGCACCTCCTAGGAAAACCGTAGACATCCAGTCTGCAGAATTCCCCTTAAACACGACGTCCACGACTGGAATGTTGGAGCTCATCAGTGGACGGGAGGTCAGCTCAGAGTAGAGGTTTCAATCCCAACACGCTTTATGCATAAAAATATAGAGTAAGAGTCTTCTGTAGGTATTTAATCGGTCTCTTTGATCTGTAAGACCTTTTGTGTAAACGTAGTTTTTTTATTTTAAATCTCTGAGACGGTTTAAACGTCCCCGGAGGTTTTCGTTAAAGGTTATTATAAGTCCCAACTTGACTTTTTATCACTAGAACGGTCCTCACAAATCATTTCTGGTGCATCAGAATGAGTAAAATATTCCATCCTGGTGTGGTTCTGCAAATCCAAACGCTCGCTGAGAGCGGGAAGAATGTCCTCGTGGACGTCTGGAATGTTGATTCTGACTCTGAAGAACTGATGTTTGAAACGCGTTTGATGAAAGGAGAAATTAGAAAAGCGATTTCATTAATGAAAAGGGGAAATCTCCAGGCTATGATGGCATTCCCGCCGAGTATTACAAAGAGTATACAGACATTATTTCCCTGGTTTTACAAAAAGTATTCCAAGAGTCTTTAGAAAGAGGCCAACTCCGTCCTAAATTTAACGAAGCGCTGATTTCTTTGATTGTAAAAAAAAAAAGACAGGGATAGTACAGATCCAACAAATTACAGGCCAGTTAGTTTGTTGAACTCAGATTGTAAGATACTTACTAAGGTGTTAGCCCTGCGCTTACAACAAGTCCTTCCTAATATACACCTGAACCAGACAGGATTTATGAGAAACCGTTCTTCAGTGGATAATGTCAGGAAACTGCTGCATTTAATGTGGGCGAGTCAGTCAAAACATGAGCCTGTAGCTGCCTTCTCCTTAGATGCAGAGAAGGCGTTTGATAAAGTTGAATGGGGTTTCCTTTTTTCTGCTTTATCAAATTTTGGATTTGAGTCACAATTTATAAATGGGGTTAAAATATTGTGTAAAGAGCCGAGGGCGGCAGTTATAACCAACGGAATTATTTCACCTTTTTTCGGGTTGTCACGTGGGACCCCACAGGGGTGTTCACTCAGCCCTCTATTATTCATTATACTTATAGAAACGGTAACTGTGAGTATTAGGTCAAATAGTGATATTAAAGGTTTAAGAGCGGGCCAAGTTGAACACAAATTACTTCTTTATGCAGACGATATTCTAGCAACGATAACTAATCCACTTACATCTTTACCACATTTAAGGGACGCTCTAGAATCCTACTCAAAATTTCTGGATATACAATTAATTGGTCCAAGTCTGAGGCTATGCCATCGCCGGGTCTGTGCTATTCACATATGGTGGAGAAATTTAATTTTAAATGGACACCTAAAGGCATGTGTGTTGTCTTTTGTTTTTGGTATGTTCTTGTACGTTGTAAAAAATCTGAAAATAATAAAAACTTTAATTATAAAAATTAAGTAAAATGTTTTCCCAAATTTAATAAAAATTCACCTGTTGCAGGTTAATTCACCTGTTGCTGTGTTCACAAAAAACTATGGAGATAAAAAAAACTTTTTTTAAATGGTGAGCAGCAGAAACATGTATTTTTTAAAATTCTTATTAATTATTTATGCATTAATTGTAATAATTTATTTTGCTTTTATAATTATGTCTTCAATAAACAAGATCAATATATGGTTTGACTGAACATTAATATGATTTGTTAACACAGGCTTTTCCTGGGGGGCCAGCAATTTTCTAGGGGTGGCCATGGCCACCCCTGGCCACCCCTTGGGGGCGCCCTTGTTCCTATATTTGATACCGGATGTGCTGTATAAATGTGGATCATCTGTAACAGTGTTTGTGCATAAGCAAATACGACGCAGGGACAGAACGAAGCTGCGTGGTCTTGTAGTTTCTCCGAATCAGAGCCTTCTCTTTTTGTGAGGCGTTTCCTTCTTCGTAGCTGCGGGGTGGGTGGTGCTGGTGGAGGGGAGAGGTGGGTTTGTGTAGACCACAGGTCATTAGCAGAGATCAAGCTTCCCTAATGAGTGCTGGGGTCCTCCAGGGGCACTCAGGCGTCACACACTGCACTTCCCACCAGGCGCTCCCAGCCTTCAGTGCTTCTCGGCTACACGCTGCCCCCTGCTGGAGAACTTGAGCCTAAACGTCATCTCAACATTTGTCTGCAATGACCTTTCCATCAGAGTTCACAACAGATGTATTCATCAGGATGACCTCTGCTCCGCTGGTTTCATTCTGTACTTTTGTGACACATTAAAGTTTTATTTGATTGGATTGTTTTGGATCTGTTTTTTGCAGAGGCAACATCCCACAGAAGGACCTCGAGCTGGTGTTTCCTGGAATGAGTGGAGACTTCACCAGCGAGAACTTCGCTGCCACCTGCTATCTGATAGAAAACCACGCCGGCTCCAGGTGTGTCAGTACGCCTGACCCTTTATCGGGGTTTCACCCAGAAGGTTCTTCTAGTTTCCTTCTAGTTAGCGCCTCTGGTATCTTTGCCGATGTGTTTTTCTGCCTGCTTCTGGTCCAATAATCAAACCAAGCAACAAAAAGTTTCTCCGATGCAGCGGAAAGCACACTCACAAGAGGTAAGGCATAAAGAAGATGACGGCTGCTCATGACTAATAATAATAAAATATCTGGTGCTTTAAGCTCCACCCTGAGAGCACCAGTACTCCCAGTTGTTATTATACCACTAAAATTAGCCTTTCCTTTTATTCAGCTCCCTCGTGCAGCAGCGCTTCAAACATCCTGCGCTGTAACGTTTCAGAGGACAAAATAAAACTTTATGGGACTGCAGATGTGAATTAGCTTTAAGCTATATCTAGTACAACTCATCAAATGGTAAAGTTTATGCTCAGTATTGTACACGGTCCTCGAATAAACTCGATGATTCACTGAAACTTTAAAGAGCAAGTCACCCCCTTCCAGAGTCTTACTCCACTCCCACTTCCTGTTTGAAAAATGCAACAAATGCTGTTGCCTAGCAGACCGAGAGGGCGGAGCCGCTAACAAATACACACACACACACACACACAGGCTCACAACAACATTGTGACATCATATGGTACCAGCTAACATTCTAGGGTACCTCTTAGCCAATAGCGATGGCAGATTTAAATTCAAATGCAGTGCACTGACCGTTTTAGGCAGAAAATTAAAATTTTAAAGAGCAAGTCACCCCCAAATCAACTTTTTTTTCTGATAAACTGTATAAATGTGTGTCTAATCGTGCTGCAGACACGTGTAGTCAATAGTTTTGCACTTTAGTGCGTTTTAGTTAAAATTTAAATTTTCTGCCTAAAACTCAGTGTTGTGCCGTTGTCAGGTAAAAACTCTGCACTGCATTTGAATTTAAATCTGCCATCGCTATTGGCTAAGAGGTACACTATGATGTAAACTGGTACCATATGATGTCACAATGTCGTTGTGAGCCTGTGTGTGTATTTGTTAGCGGCTTCGCCCTCTCGGTCTGTTAGGCAACAGCATTTGTTGCATTTTTCAAACAGGAAGTGGGAGTGAAGTAAGTTTCTTGTAGGGGGGTGACTTGCTCTTTAACTAAAATGCACTTAAGTGCAAAACTGTTGACTACACGTGTCTGCAGCACGATTAGACACGCATTTATATAGTTTATCAGAAAAAAGAAGTTGATTTGGGGGTGACTTGATATTTAAATAACTTTCCTTAAGTTAAAAATAAGAAAACCATCTCACGTGGGAATTAAATGAGTGTTTATTACTTATAGATTCTAAGAAGCAAAAGTCATTTTCACAAATGGTTTTAAGTTTTTAAATATGTAATTAATTGAGGAAAGGGCTTATATTTATGTTCTGACATTTATTTAGAGGTTTTTTTTTTTTTGTTCAGATCTTGTCATTATCGGTTGTTTCTCCATCGAACAGCGAGGTGTGTGTAGACAAGGTAACCTGCTGACCCCTGAGACCGTCGTGTCGGGGCAGAGGAGAGTTATTTTGGACGCTCCTGCCTTCCTGCCCCCCCACCCCCGCTTATCCTCCCAGTAACCCAGACCCCAGCGATCCAGCATGACCAGGGGCCTCTGTTTGGACCTCACTGGGTGACTGTTTCTTCCTGCAGAGGAAACCTCACTCAAGACTCTGACACACAGTCACACGTAGCCACGGCGGCTCCAGATGTGCGTCCAGAAAAGCAAATGCGCAAAGCTTCGTCCTCCTGTGTTTAATTCATCAGCATTTGTGGACTCAAGGGTGACATTTTGCTTTTGCTTTCACAGTTTTGAGCACCTGAAGCTTGCAGCCAGTAACCTGAGGAAGCAGGCCACCAAGAAGAACGAGGGGAGTCTGGGCTACGTGAAAGGAGGCCTGAGCACCTTCTTCGAGGCTCAGGATGCTCTGTCAGGTAAACGAGGCTCGCGCGTTTACGTCAAACCAAACAGTCGGCACTCGCGCTCATGGCTTCACGCCGAGAAATAAAAACAAGTCGGCTTTTAGAGCGTGTGCGAGAGTGGCCCTCGCTGGATTCCTTTCCCCACACATGTGGCTCGGCGGCGCTGATTAAAGAGGCTCATTTGTGTGAAGACCCTCCGCCTCGCGCTACAGTTACAGCAGCCAACCACAACACGCTGGCTTCACCTTCATCAAAATGAGATCAGCTCTCACCTGTCACACAGTCTGACATGAAAAGTGGTCACGAACACACACGTGCACACACTCGCTGACCTTCAGATGCCACAGAGATTTCAAGGTAGCAGAGACTGACCGCTGTCGCTCTGCCAGGTGCGATTGTTCACTTCATCGTTCGTGCTTTTGTCTGTTTACTCCCCGCTCCCGCCGAAGGCCTCAGTTACTTCCCCTTACTATTTATACGTACACTTCTCTGCCCCCATCTTTATTATTATTGCTTTCCGTATGTTTGTGCCCCGGTCGGAGGAGAGGCGATGTTTTCATTGTTAGTGGCTGAATCTAAATAAACGGAGCAGCCCAACACAATGCGAGCCCTGGTATTAGGACCGATAGTGCTGATAGCAGGGCCAATATGACCAATGGGAACAATGCGCCGTCATTCTCACGTTCAGACTGAGCGTGCCTACTGTGTGCCCGCTGCCCCGATGGGAAATGTTCAGTCTGGAGGGATGCAGGAAGCAGTGTGGACGTACTCGAGTGACCCGCCGCTCAAGTGGACCTCGCTGATACTTAAAGACCCGTTTCGTCACGGTGGCGTGGCGTCTGTCTGCATCTGGCTCCAAACGGCTCTGAGCTACATGAGGGGATAGGCACGTTACTGCCCTGTGGCGTTTTGCATGAAGAGTACAGCGACAGGAGGTGGAGCTGCTGTAGTTTTGGGAATTCACAAATAAAAAAACCGTAAAGAACGAGAAGATTTGAGAACCGTCTCGTTGAACTGCACACGGCAGCTGTAATTCAGATGTGCTGTTACAGCAGGACAGACTCTGAAACTGTAAAAACCTGTAAAATGTACATATGTGAAGTTTTCCTCTGTTGGCTAGTAGATTTCAATCAGTCAGATTTTATTTATAAAGCGCTTTTCAAACAAATTCCCGGAACAGTTTAACCGTTATACGACCTTGGTGCATTTGTTTGTGCTCAAAGGACAAAAACGTTAGAAAATTTAAGGGTTATATGAGGGTTAAAAACATTAACACACACACACACACACACACACACACCAGTAAAAATTTACATTCGGCTGAGTCCAGTTGAGCCAAGTCAGGTAAGGCAAGGAAACGCCATCAGAGGAGCCATCTGCCCCGGCAGCATCAGGTCTCCCACACTAAGTCAGGCCGCTCAGAGGAGGGGGAGCATAGACCCCCACCTCCACTTAAGCACTACCTGTAGAGCGCGCAGGAAGCTACAGTCGACCACCGCCCCCGGGGCAGAGGGCCCCCCCACAAAGAAAACACTAATTAAAATGAGTAAAAATATGAAAATAAAAGTGCTAATATAAATGAAAAAAGTAAGAAAATAAATAAAATCTTTTATTTACTTTCTCCATCATGACCGAAAACATATTTCATTCAAGTCATTTTCATCTTTCAAAGCATCTTTTAACACATTTTAATATAATGTTGGGCTTTTCTACATTTTACCCCGAATATTCGCCACATTGAGCCGTAAGACGAGTCAAGCGGCTGAGAACAGGAGCAGGGACTGCAGTTGTAAAGTCATTCTACTTGAATGCTGCATGACTCCTACTTTTCTAAGTATTTTTTATCCTTGGTAAGATAAACATTGTCTCATATTTGGACCGGCGGCGTGACTCGAAAGTTCGTTTTTAAGCTTCCAGACTCCTGTCTTCTCGCTATGACTCATTGCAGCCCCACAGCATCCTTTTGCAGCCAAGGTCTGGCTCTTGGGTTTGAAAAATGAAGTAGTGGCACAGCATGGTTAGCTCAAGTGGATATATTCTTTACACTTCTGCTCCGGTGAGCCAAACCAACATACCAGCCGGCACGCAGCAGCCTGACACAGCGGGCCGGTGCCAGGCCCGGTTAGCACAGCTGTCGGAGCCACTCTGAAGCCTTTCTTTGTGTCTCTGTGGAGTTTGGCTGCTCGTCGTTGCTCTGAGTCAGTCCAGATGAGCCTCGCCGGAGAACCCCATGTAGGAACCTGTGTTCTCGGACCTCTCAGTCATTGGTGTGTTGTTCCTTCGGTTTCAGCACTGCTTGTTTGTGAGGTTTTAATAATGACTCTAATTGAAGTTGCGTTTTTTAGAGTGTTGCTGTCAGGTGGAAAACCTTCAGGGGGTCTCTACACCTTCCTTTCTTCTGCTGTGAACTGAAATCGTCTCCAGCAGAGATGAGTACACAGACTTTAGTATCTTTAGTGCTGAGGCTAAAATTAGCATCTAAAAGCCAGATGTTTTGTACTTTCTGAAGCCGTTTGGCCCATTTTCCAGTTTTGGTGAACAGATTTGCGGTTTTAGAGCCTTAAAGGGGGAGCCTCGGCCAGCTCCTTTTTCATTCTTTTACGTTTTATTTGCTTTTGGCTGAATCTTTTCTCCAAATGGCACACCATTAGGCCACAGTTAGCTTAGCCAAAATAATCCTTCATTCTGCTAAAACATGAAAATGATCCCACTGAGCTTCACACACTTGCTCAGGGTATCCGCGGGTCCTTAAAAAGTCTTAAATTAGCATTTCCAAATTTAAGGCCATAAAAATCCTTAAAAATGACAAATAATCCTTAAATACAGTTTCCAAAGGTCTTAAATTACCAAAGACCCAATAAGCACGATTCTTTTATTTCTATAAAATTTTTGTGAATTTCTAGTTGGTGTTCAGCTTTTTTTGTGTACGATGTTGGCGTAAGCGGAACCGTACACATTCAGATGGTTGTGAAAGGGGGCTATTTTTACATGAGCACATTAGCTGGTTAAGCTAGCGGGAGCTTGCGCCATGGGGAAGTGCAAGTTTAATGGTAACTGGATGGCTAATCCCACGTTCACGACGTGGTTAGCACCGGTGTCGGTACTGTATCTGCTCGGGTGCAGGATCGGCTCGGGGTCCTTCGACTGCCGATGACGTCAATGTAGTTGATTGGCTGAACATGAAGCTTACGGACGTGATGTTATCACGTTCTGATTTTGATTGGTCAGTAGGGATGTGTCGGTCGCGAACGAACCGGCTCTAAGAGTCGGCTCTTTGAAGTGAACGACGGGAGCCGGCTCATCATTGGGAGCCGTCCCCTCCCCCCCTGCCTTGGTGAAAGCTACAGGCGATGTGTAACTGTGTGTCCAGACTGTCCACACACAGAGCAGTAGGGGCGGGGAAGAGGGAGGATCATACTCAGACAGACACACAGCAGAGCACATGCGGGTGGAGGGAGACGAGAGGGAATGAAGAGGAGGAAAAAGGCGTGCGAGAGAGAGGAGATTGCGACGAAGACGGTGAGAAAATGAGCGCTAGCAGTCGGAAAGTGGAGATTTCTTAAATTGTTCAGTTATTAAATCCATATTTGATATTTTGCTTCTTTTTACATTAGTAAATTAATTTACATATAGTTTAGCATTATTTTGGTTATAAATGTACTCTACGCAACAGAAAATCTGAGGAGCCACTTGGGAGCCGAAAGAGCCGGCTCTTTTTGGTGAGCTGAGCCAAAAGAACCGGCTCTCTAAAACGAGCTGGAATTCCCATCACTATTGGTCAGAACAAATTTGCGGTTGTGGTCTTAGTGGTTGTAGTCCTGTAGTCCCAAAATCAACACGTTTTGGAGAAAATATGTTTGAATTTCTAAAGGAAATGTAAAATATAAGCAAATGATAAACGGTGACCCTCAAAAGCTCTTGATGTTGATGAAATGGGGCAAAATAAAATATAAGAACTTTATTGAAAGACACCAATCAATATTTAGAGTCAAATAATGTATTTAGATAACAACTAAGGAAATATACAGACGAGCTCCACATTAATACAAACAGATGTGGCTTCACATATAAGAACTGTTCTGTTGTTTCTCAGTCCGATGTTGGTTTTATGCAGTTTCACATTCTTTACAAAACAAAGATAATATGGTGTTTTATTAACAAATTACAATTATAAAGAAAACATTTAGGTGTTAACAAACAAGAATTTATTAACAAAACTGCTGATGTCTTTCCAACACGTGTGTGTGAAAGCTGAGTAGATTTGCAGTCATGTGACGTCATCGGCAGTCGAAGGACCCCGAACCGATCCTGTACCCGAGCAGATCCAGTACCGACACCAGTTCCAGGCAATAGCTGGAAATTATAGCTTAAATTTAACTTTAAAATTAGCTTAAATTTGGTCAAAATGGCCTGAAAAAAGGTCTTAAAAAGTCTTAAATTTGGCTCCCTTAAACCTGCAGATACCCTGGTTTCTGTTCACTACTAAAAAAAAAAGGCAACGCAAACCTGAGGAGAACAGTTCATTCACCTTCTTAAATAAAAACCTAAAAGTTAAAACGAGTCACAAGATCATTTACCGGTGCTTGTTTGTGACTTCTGACCCTGGGAGCTTTAGAAAAGGTTTTATTTATTTGAATCTCATTCTTTAATTTGTGTGGTTTGAGCTTTGTTTTGCCGTTGGCTGTTCCCCGGTGGAAGGTGTGGGGACGAACTCAGCCAGACCTCCTGAGACTAACAGAGTCTGTCTGCATGAGTGGCGCATTGTCGGGGAACAGAGGGTTGTTGCTTCTAAAATGTTGAAATTTGAGGTTTTTCATTGTTGTGCGAAGAGGAAGTCTCTCAGTGATGCAGGAAACGGAACAGCTACCGTACTGCAGAAATGAAAGATTCCCAGGGCCCGTTCCCTGCGGCCTCAGCCCCAGCAGGAGTCAAAACATCTCCAGCTTTAGAAGCCAGGGACTCCGTATTTTTATTTTTATTCTTTTTTTGGTTCCAGGAAGTGCGGCAGAAGCTGCAGCTTTTCCTCGGGTCCCGTTATCCGGACCCTGACCCGATGTTTAGCTTAACTGTAACGTCATCGGGCGCTCGGCGTGCGACAGACGTAGAGGACACACAGCTGGCAGCGGTGCAGAGGGGAGTCTGGAGACGCGAAGCAGACCTGCAGAGTGTGTGTCTTCCTTTCTGCTGGGCCCTATCAATCCTGTACACACACACACACACACACACACACATCTGCGTACTTTCATCTTAACCTGCTGGTTCTGCGGCGATGCCCGTGCTGATTAGGCGGTGGCATGTTTGAAAGGTGTGTTTTATAAACTCCTCCGTCTGCCTGGAGGCTTCTGTCTGTCAGAGCGGGCCCGTGTTTATTACAGAACTCTCCCCCGCCTGTCAAACTCCACCAACAGCCGGTGTTCCCTCCAGAACCAGTGAAAGTTGAGCTAAAACCTGCAGAATCGCTTTTCTTTTTCCTCATCCTTCCCCTTATCGTCCTTCTTGTTGTGTCACTTCATGAGTGCAGCGTCTCCGAACCCCTCTCCACCTCTCTGTCAACAAGCCCACGCTGCAGCTCTCAGCACCCAGCTGCCCACCGCCGCTCTCCATTTATTTATCCACTGGAGCAGCCTCCACCACCGCTCTGCCGCTCTGTTTTCCCTTCATTCCTTCTCTTTAAATTCCCTCTACGTTTAGCTACATCTGAGCTAAGCTGCAAAGGTTAACTGTTGATATTGAAAGGTAAACGCATTTATTTGTGTGATTCTGTCACTGTTGTCATTGCTTGTGCAACTGGGCGACAGATAACGCTGCTCCCCGACGTTAGCACTTAGCTACCTCCTGATTCCGCTCTGATCAACCGTGAATTATTAAGTAGCCGACGCAAAATACCGGACATTAATTCAGAGTTGACCAGGGAATTATCCAGCCAGTGCCTGAAGCTGGTTTACACGCCAAAAAGCGCTTTATTTCCTGCAGCTTGGCTCAGAGCCGGCTTTGCCGACAGGCGACACAGGCGGCCGCCTGGGGCGCCATCTGATGGATAAGGTGCAAAATATAAATAAGTTTATTAAATATGTTTGTTATGTGAAATGCACTCTCTAAATACTCAAAATTCCCCTCTGAAATGACATGAAATGAAAACATCAATATTTAAATTCTAATGATCTGGCTGCATGACGAGCTCCTGCTTGGGCCACCGCTCCCATGCATTTGACCGTTAAGTGTGCCGTAGATCACGTGCGTGGGTAGCGCTGTAGAAGGACTTCCTGTTGTCATCGCGTTTAAACTTTTGATATCTTTTACGATGAAAAGAACACCCAAGCCATCGGGGTCAGCATCGGGGGGCACCAAATGGACTCTCTCGCCTTGGGCACCAAATTACCTAGAGCCGGCCCTGGCTTGGCTAGCTCTAGATTGCTAGCCTTAAGCCCTATCCAGAAGAGCGTTGGCGACATTAATACCGTAAATTACACGCTGTTGCACAGTGTGCCGCTTGGTCGAAGGGGTTGTGATGGATCAGAGTTCCCCCTCTTCTCTGGTGCTGTTGCACATTCCCGCTACCTCCCGGTGAACGAGCTTTAAACGTCCCACAGGCGTTCCCCCGACAGGGGCGTGCCCTTGTTGGGATGGAGCGGCAGCATCGGTGGGTGGAGAGGCGGGGGGGTTATTTCACATCTACCACTGCGGCAGAGTCTGTTTATTGTTTCACCTTCACGTCCTGAAGCTAAAAATGTTCCCGTCTTTGGCGTCTGGTTAAAATTATCCAGATTTTTCTCCTGCAGTGATCCACCAGAAGCTGGAATCCGATGGCACGGAGAAGGTGGCTGGATCGATGACCCAGCAGCTGGAAGACATCCTCAACCGTGAGTTTTCATCATCTCACCCTCAGAATAAAAACCATGTTGAAACCTAGAGGAGACGGGCTTGTGATCAGCCGCTGTCACACACCGTCTCTGTGTAGCAGCCCCCCCACCCCCACCCCGTGTGTTAATGAGGCCGCTCTAATGGTGGGTCAATAAGCCGACTCTTTTCCTGAAGTGTAGAGTAAATAAACCTCTCAGCCGGACGCATCTTTCATCCCTACCAACGCCAAAAGACCCGGTGGGTCAAGGCCTCCATTCACCCCGTGCCTGAAACACACTCAGCCAATCACAGAGCTGCTTTGTGAAGCTCACCAGCTCTGATTGGTGGCTGAAAATCTTATAAATATTCCTCTGTTTCAGCTTTTTTTTGTGGGATTTTGTTTAGATTAGAGCTTTCGGATGGAACCAGGGCCACCCATGGAGCTTTGTCTCCGTCCAAAGGTCCGGCCAAGCAGGCCGAGGGACAGTTGTCACTTTCGTCTCAGCGACTTGCTTCCCACCCCTGCTCTTCGGTTCTTATGTCCAAAAACATCCAGAGAAAGAGGAAAACCAGAGACCAGCAATAAGCGGGAAATGTGGTATCAACATTTATTTATACAGGATCCCAGTTCCTCATGTTCTCCCACCTCTTTCCCTCTCGCTCTAATTTCTTCTTGCAGGAGCGAGCGACACCGCAGATACGCTCTTCCAGGAGGTCCTGGGACGGAAAGACAAAGCCGACTCCACACGCAATGCACTGAACGTCCTGCAGCGTTTCAAGTTTCTCTTTAACCTGCCACTCAACATCGAGCGCAACATCCAGAAGGTACCTTGTGCAGAACTGTGTGTACACAAAAACAGAAACACCAGCACATCAACGAAGGGCCAAGTCCAGAATGAAAACCACATGTGCCTTCGCTTCAGCACGTCTGTGTGTGTGTGTGTGTGTGTGTGTGTGTGTGTGTGTGTGTGTGTGTGTGTGTGTGAGAGAGACAGGGTATCCGCGGGTCCTTAAAACGTCTTAAATTAGCTTTTCCAAATTTAAGGCCTTAAAAATCCTTAAAAATGACAAATAATCCTTAAATACAGTTTCCAAAGGTCTTAAATGACCAAAGACCCAATAAACAAAATTATTTTATTTCTATAAAATTTTTGTGAATTTCTAGTTAGTGTTCAGCATTTTTTGTGTATGATGTTGTCGTAAGCGGAACCATACACATTCAGTTGGTTGTGAAAGGGGGCTGTTTTTAGATGAGCACATTAGCTGGTTAAGCTAGTGGGAGCTTGCGCCATGGGGAAGTGCAACATTAATGGTAACTGGATGGCTAATCCCACGTTTGCGACGTGGTTAGCACCGGTTCCAGGCAATAGCTGGAAATTATAGCTTAAATTTAATTTTAAAAATAGCTTAAATTTGGTCCAAGTGGCCTTAAAAAGGTCTTAAAAAGTCTTAAATTTGGCTCCCTTAAACCTGCAGATACCCTGGAGAGAGAGAGTGTGTTCATGTGTGTGGGAGAGAGAGAGAGTGTGTGTGTGTGTGTGTGTGTGTGTGTGTGTGTGTGTGTGCGCGTGCGTGTGTGTGTGAGTGAGAGAGAGAGAGAGTGTGTGTGTGTGTATGTGTGCGTGCGTGTGTGTGTGTGAGAGAGACTGTGTGTGTGTGTGTGTGTGTGTGTGTGTGTGTGTGTGTGTGTGTGTGTGTGTGTGTGTGTGTGTGTGTGTGAGAGAGAGACTGTGTGTGTGTGTGTGTGTGTGTGTGTGTGTGGGAGAGAGAGAGAGTGTGTGTGTGCGCGCGCGTGTGTGTGAGTGAGAGTGTGTGTGTGTGTGTGTGTGTGTGTGTGTGTGTGTGTGTGTGTGTGTGTGTGTGTGTGTGTGTGAGACTGTGTGTGTGTGTGTGTGTGTGTGTGTGTGTGTGTGTGGGAGAGAGAGAGAGTGTGTGTGTGCGCGCGCGTGTGTGTGTGTGTGTGTGTGTGTGTGTGTGTGTGTGTGTGTGTGTGTGTGTGTGTGTGTGTGTGTGTTGGTGGATTTTTAAACAACAAAACTTAAAAATTTCAGAGTAAACTATTGAGACTTCAGACGAGAGACTGTTGGACACGACTGCGTAGAGATGTTTACGTGTCCTATCTGTATGTGTTTGTTTTGAGGTTGGATGAGTCAACCGGGGGGGCGGGGCTAGAGAGGCTTAAACACACAGTAGATGCAATGATTGATGAGTTATTTAAAAACAACATTATTGCCTGACGTTTGTTCCCAGGGAGATTACGACGTGGTGATCAATGACTACGAGAAAGCCAAATCTCTGTTTGGGAACACCGAAGTTACCGTTTTCAAAAAAGGTCAGCGATGGTTTCTGGCGCCGTGCGAGCCGAAGCGCACGAGTGCTGCTGTTTAAACGTCAGTTAGAGGTTTTTGCAGTGATGGTTTCTGACTCTGGTTCAGTTTATGCCGAGGTGGAGACGAGAATCGAAGCTCTGAGGAGGCTCCTGTTGGACAGACTTCTGCAGACGCCGTCCACGCTCCACGACCAGAAAAGATACATCAGGTTTGGATTCCTGAACTTTCACGCGTCACGATGTCCAAAATGAGCCCTTGTTTCAGTTTCTTTTGTGTCTGTTTATGTCTTTGTTTACCAGAACCTCAAACCTCGGCTTCGTTTTCTACATCTCACTTTCCTCGAATCTCCACATCTTTCTGTTATGTGGCTGCTTTGTTTTTTGGTGCCCCCCCCCCCCCCACCCCCACCCCCCCCCACCCCCCATATCCATCTGCCCGTTCATACTTGTGGTTTCTCTCCATTTATTATTGTTAGGAGCAACCTGTCAGGATCACAGAGACCAGTTCTCAGCCACATGGTAACATCTTTCATCCTGGTGCATTAGGCTCGGCTCCGAACGCCCACTCAGCTCCTGTTTACTCTTCAGGATCGGGGGGGGGGCGGGGGCGTGGAGGGGTCCGCGCTCCCGAGGTTCTCGCTTGAACTCTTGAGAGATGCCACCTAATGAGAAACAAGCGGGCAGCTGGTTTATGGGATGAAAGTGGATGAAGCCAGGCCACAGTTTAGATGCTGAATCATCGGATATTCCCAGAGTCTGGAGTGAGGTTCAGGGAATAAACTCCTGGAGGTGGATTATGATTACTGGGGTGGAAAAGAACTGTTTGTAGTGCTCAGGAGATCAGAAAAGGTCCTTTTCATGTCTGCATTTATAGAGAAAAGCTCTCGTTGTGCAAACGTTGATTTGTCTTTTTGTTGTGGGACGATTCCAGCCGCGACAGGGCCGGTTCCAGTGAGACCTGCGTAGTCTTCTTTTCCTAAGCTGGTTAGATGTGTTGCTGCTGACTGGAGAAGATTCCTGTAACTTTCTCTGTCATCTTATAGTTAATTAAGTACATTTTATTTTATAGCACCCATCACAGACAGAACATCACAAACTTCTTCTCATAGGGTGTTTCTCAATGTCAAGGCGCCTTGCCTACGAGGACGCTGTCCTTCCTTGGTCAAAGAAAACGGTTAAACGGAACAGACTTACATCACGTGACCGCGGCTTCCACGGCGGTCACGTAACGTCACGTGACACGTGAGATAACGTATTACAGGGTATCCGCGGGTCCTTAAAAAGCCTTAAAAAGTCTTAAATGTGCTTTTCCAAATTTAAGGCCTTAAAAATCCTTAAAAATGACAAATAATCCTTAAATACAGTTTCCAAAGGTCTTAAATGTCCAAAGACCCATTAAACAAGATTATTTTATTTCTATAAAATTTTCATAAATTTCTAGTTAGTGTTCAGCATTTTTTGTGTACGATGTTGGCGTAAGCGGAACCGTACACATTCAGTTGGTTGTGAAAGGGGGCTGTTTTTAGATGAGCACATTAGCTGGTTAAGCTAGTGGGAGCTTGCGCCATGGGGAAGTGAAAGTTTCATGGTAACTGGATGGCTAATCCCGGATAGCACCGGTTCCAGGCAATAGCTGGAAATTATAGCTTAAATTTAATATTTTTAAAATTGCTTAAATTTGGTCAAAATGGCCTTAAAAAGGTCTTAAAAAGTCTTAAATTTGGCTCCCTTAAACCTGCAGATACCCTGTATTAGTTTCAATATAAATATATGACGAGCCTTTTACTTTTTAAATTGTGTATATGTTTATTAAATTAAATATATAAGCGAGTTACTACCCGCTAACCACCGAAGCTGCAACTACTAAGCTACTAACCAACCATAGATAACTTCTTTGATCTAAAAAAAACATTTTAAATTAGTTGACTTACTTTTAAACGTGAAAATTAGCCCCGAAGTAGCTGCCGGCTTCTGATTCGCCGTCGTTTTGAAAATACCGCGGTGTATTGTGGGTAATTTTTGACCAAGGCTAGGCTACAAGACACCTCGCCTTGTGTCCTCGCTCAGCTAGCTAAACGGCTAACAAACGGAGAACACACGCCTCGGTAGAACGTGAACATTGGAGCCCATCTTGGCGGCTCCCGATGACGTACCTCCTAGGCAACCGGGGCGGGGCCAAGGCATCAAGGCGAGGTTCCTTGGCATTGAGAAACACCCGAAGACTTTCTGCTCCAGTGAGGAATGAAGATGTTATTTTGCAGCCACTAATTTTTAAATGTACACCTTTTCCTGCTTTGCTTCGATGTCACGAATGACCTAAAGCGAAAACACTTACAGACCGAAGGCGGGGTGGAACTCCTGTTTCTGATTCAGCGTGTGTTTATTTGTCTGGCCTGCGTGGTGCGTAGGTATCTGTCCGACCTCCATGCTCCGGGCGACCCGGCGTGGAAGTGCATCGACGCTCAGCACAAGCGGATCCTGCAGCTGATGCAGAACTGCAGAGACGGGTTCATCAACGGCCAAAGAGGTGAGGAACGAGAGCTGACACACACACACACACTGAAAAGCCCCTATTTAGCATCTGCAACCATGCAGCAAGTTGATGTCATGTGAGCCTGGAAGTAACGAAGAAAGAGAAATCCAGCTGCGCCCCCGCCCGCGCCTGTTCTGTTGGAGGCATGTGTGTGTTTATTTTTTCATGAACGTATGAATAAGATGAAAGAGGGGGAGCGTTTGCTTTGGACTTGGGTTTCAGAGCCTGACACGTTACCGCACACATAAACTCCCTCACGCGCTGCTTCACACATGGATTGGAACAATTAACCCCAATTAAAGCCGTTCCTCGGTTAAGTCAGCCAGCAGAGGAATGTGGACGTGAAACCGTCCACTCAGGAAGATCCTCCACACGCGTTTAAGGGGGGTCTGCACGTCGAGCAGCGGGAACGTAAACACCACTAATGCTAAGGCTAGCTAGAGGGGTGGGGGGTGTGTGATGATGAGAGGTTTTACACCTCAGATACGTTTGGTTTAGTCAAGAATCAGAATGTATGCTTTCCACCCATTATTTACATCCAGTTTGTAAATCAGCCCAAAGGTGTCTGATTTAGCATGATTTATGACACGTGTGCTCCTGCACATGCATGTGAAGCCTCACTTCTACGTTTGGTTTGTCAACAGGTTTAAAAACAACCCAACAAAAGATGGAATAAAAGCCGTCAACATTAAAGGCGTGGAACACTGAGAAACCACGTTTTTTGATGATTTCTGATTCTAACGGGTCACTCAGAGTGTTTCATGCAGGCTGAACATGAAAATAGTCTCCTACACCTATCTCCTGCAGTAGCTTCTGATAGAAAACAGACGGTGAAACTCTAGGATTAGAATAGCCTGACAGATCTACGTCACCCTCTCACTTAGCATTCATGGACTCACCCATCTGGACTCACGACGGGGAAGGCTGTTGTTGGTTTAGCGTCCAGGAAACAGCAGAGAACGTCTCTGCTAGTAAATGCTAACCGTTAGCATTAGCTACTCCACCACACAGCAGAATTCCTCCAGGCTTGTGTTATCTGTGGAGATAAAAGATCAACGTTGCAGAGCAACCAGAGTCGGTGGTAGAGTCGTGCGGCTGTTGGCCAATCACGAGTGGGATGTAAGACTCCAGAGCCTCTTTCTCCATCAGCTGACTTCCTGAAACGGCACACCTGAGCTTTGTTTCCCCCGAGAACGACTCCAGGCATCCATGTCTGCTGCAGACCACTGCTCATGTAGGTTAAAGGAGTGAATCACGCATTTCAGGGTCAGTAACATTTAAATCAACTTGCTGTTTGTTTGTTTTTTAAGATCATTTCACTTTCTAACAGAAATAAAAACCTTTTCCATCCTTTAAGCTGCACTTCTAAACGCAGGGTATCCGCGGGTCCTTAAAAAGTCTTAAAAAGTCTTAAATTAGCTTTTCCAAATTTAAGGCCTTGAAAATCCTTAAAAATGACAAATAATCCTTAAATCCAGTTTCCAAAGGTCTTAAATTACCAAAGACCCAATAAACTAGATTATTTTATTTCTATAAAAATTTTCGTGAATTTCTAGTTAGTGTTCAGCATTTTTTGTGTACGATGTTGCCGTAAGCGGAACCGTACACATTCCGTTGGTTGTGAAAGGGGGCTGTTTTTAGATGAGCACATTAGCTGGTTAAGCTAGTGAGAGCTTGCGCCATGGGGAAGTGCAAGTTTAATGGTAACTGGATGCCTAATCCCACGTTCACGACGTGGTTAGCACCGGTTCCAGGCAATAGCTGGAAATTATAGCTTAAATTTAATTTAAAAAATAGCTTAAATTTGGTCTAAGTGGCTTTAAAAAGGACTTAAAAAGTCTTAAATTTGGCTCCCTTAAACCTGCAGATACCCTGTAAACGTGTCTGATGTGCAAAAGCCTGCTTACAGCTCATCCAAAGTATACACACACACACACACACACACACACACACACACACACACATGCATATTACTTGTCACCCAACACACACACACACACACACACACCTGCTCTCTCTTTGCCATCTCGTCTTTGCGGTCCGAGTGAGAACCCTCCCTCCCCTGAAACGAACCCTCCCCCTGGCAGCCATCTTCACCAAGCCACATCCACTTCTAACCCCGCTCTTCATCCTCACTGCTGGCAGCTTCTTCCTCCTCCAGTCACACCGTCTGTGATGGAGCTGCTATCTCTGCACTAGCTGGAGCCATTGCTGTGTTTTCTAGAGAACACCAGACCAGAGCTGGTTCTGGTGCAGCTGTCGCTCCATTAACAAATCTGTGACTTGTCCTAAACGTGAAGTAGACAAATCCATCATTCTGGTCCAAGGAAGATGGATTTTTCCTGCCTTTCCTTGTCTAAACACTCCCAGTATTCCTGCTACAATCTGAGTTTTCATCTATGGTTGTCTGCCAACATTAATATCATCAGCAGGAGACGTTTTCAGGGTAGAAATGCGTCATGAATGAACAACTTGAGGGACTTTAGATGTGATATCAGTCTTGTTTTTATGGCTTTGCTGACTCGATTTAGAATAATTTCTTTAATAATAATCATGAAAATTCACGCATAAAACTGGATGCCAAGTTTTACTTTCAGGGTTTTTCTTAGTGCTTGAAATCCTTGAAAGTGCTTGGAACTGTAGCAGAACTCTTGTTCGAGATGTGGAAGTGAAACGATGTGGAGTTTGCATGTGTAATCTTTAAACGTCACCCTGAAACTGGCTTGAATAAAATGTTGGCAAAGGCGTGAGACCGCTTTATTTCACGCTGTAGAAGAAGAATAAAGATAGTTTTTATTTAGAGAGAAAATAAATAAAATGGGTGAAAATTACGTATCACTTTAAAATAACATTGATGCAAACTGGTGTTTTTTTAAACTCGTTTTCACTTCATATGTAGAAACCAGACAAATCATTTTATTAGGAAATACGAACAAAATCAACTTTATAAATAAAATTATTCTTCAGAGAATAAAGCACCAAAATATAAGGAGTTGAGTAAATAAAAGAGAGCGAGTGTGTGTGTGTGTGTGTGTGTGTGTGTGTGTGTGTGTGTGTGTGTGTGTGTGTGTGTGTGTGCGTGTGTGTGTGCGTGTGCGTGTGCGTGCGTGCGTGCGTGTCACATATCAGAAACATTTGCCCGTTTACAGATAATCTGACTCAGTTGAGAATTTCCTTACATTTTCTAGTCGGCTGTTTTTTGTGTTCGCCACGTTCTCTCCTCAGCTCGGGGATTTCTCAAGACTTGCTCACACACTGCATTCAGACACTGACTCACCAGTACTCCTTTACACGTGTGTGTGCGCGCGCATGTGCACATGTCACACATGTTTTGGAAATGTGGCCATCCATCTCCCTTCGTTTACACCGACTCCATGTAGGCGTCCTGCAGCGTTGCACAACTTTTCTCTCTACGTTTCATTTTCTTTGTTGCAGTTTGTTGGTCTCATGGCTTTGCTGCTGTTTCACTTTCATCACACACACACACACACACCCATCCCATCCCACTGCTGAGGCTGTGTAGTGACCTTCCAGATTAATTAATTAAAGTCACTGAGGCGGTGCAGCTCTCTGTTGCCATCTAGTGGAGCTCTGGGGTGACTCGTGTTCCTGATGTGAATCCACCCTCAAACCCCGGCGCTCCGTTTCCCCCCGTGGAAATAACAGGACATTCTCTCGGCGGTGGGTCTGGTCAGAAACGGGCCGGAACACAAACAAAGAAAGGCGGAGAAAGGATTGTTTGGTGTGAAAACCTGCTGAGCTTATGGAGGAATGTGGAATTATGAAAATGGCTTATTAAAAATCTGAAATGTGTGTTTCTTCGTCCTCCAAGTTCATGTCTTGTCTTCTTGTCCTTCAGTGGGGGTTGGAGCTTTGGACCTGGAGGGGGATACCCGACCCTCCGCCCTCAGCAGGCTGAGCCACTCCGCCTCTCTGAAGCGAGGGGGCAGTCTGCGATCGCCGCGGCCCAGCAGTGAGTGCAGCTTCGCCCACACACCGTGTGCTGAGGAGGGGCTTCCCTGTCCTCCACTACATTTGTTGTCATGTGCAGCGTTTACGGGAAGCTGCTCGCATCGGCCCGTGCAGTAACGACACAAACAATAAAGAAAAACAAACACCTTTTCAGTTCCCAGAATGAGCCGGTTGTGTGGGTCTCTAAAACTCCTCCAACCACCACTTTCTGCCATTCTTCTTGCAGCGTGGCGCTTCGAAACTCCCCCGCAGGTTCAGTTTGTGGAGAAGCTTTCTGACGTGGTGATCGGTCAGCTGCCCAACTTCTGGAAGCTCTGGATCTCCTACGTTAATGGGAGTCTTTTTAGTGAGGTAAAACACCCGAAGAGTTTGGAAATCAAATGGTGGCGCGACCAGTTTGTGTTTGTCGAAACTGCACAGAAACTTCCAGAAACCGTGTGACATGTGTACCAAAGCATTTAGCTGCCACCCTTTCAAAATAAAATCAAACCATACCAGATGTTGACGTGAACTTGTATCATTAACTCATTCGCCGCCAGCGTTTCTCACCGTTTTTACTGTTTTTTTTAAGAGTGACAGAACGTTGCGCTCTAGGATGATGTCGACGCCAAAACAACCAAAACAAAGAGGAGACTCGCCTCTTACATCAGGAAGAATCCGCGCGTTTTGAGCGTTATCCGTTCTTTCATAATCCGTTGTTGAATTATGATCGGCAGAAGCTTTTCCGGTTCGCTCCTCACTTTTTTTTACAGCAGCGGCCCAAAACGATCTCCTAGCACATGGATGTTCTGCTTCCTGATCATGTGACGTGTGACGTACGCGGATGAAGATCGGCCTTAGAGCTGAGATGTTTGTTCTCTCGGTGTGGGGGCTCGTCCGACGCCCACACAGTAAAAACGTGCGAACGAGTTAAAGTGGAACGGTTCTGATTGTGTGTGAAACATTTTGTAAGAACAGATTTTATTTCTGAAAAAGTGGCAGCAAAAGGCTTCCGTACATTTGTGAAAAATGTCGTATTGCTACTTTGTCACAACGTTCATTTATGTGCGATTTGTCCACCAACGTCGTCTCACCTAACCCTGTTCATCTTTTGGACTCTCGCTCCAGAAACGAGGCCGGATGTTTGTTTTAAAACAAGAAAGGTTACAATCAAAGATAGTTTCTTTTTGTGGTTTGAAGTGGACAATTTTAATAAATAATTAAGTTTCTTTTAGGATTAGAATAACAAAACTAATCGTCAGTAAACAGAAACAAATAAATTACGTTTTAACTGAAATTCAGCCACCGAATGTTGTTTGACTTCCTGGAATCTTCCTCCTCAATCACTGCATTTGTGTTTATGGAGACCCCAGCTTTGTTCACGCTATAAAAGGTGGGTTGCTGGTATGAAACCAGGTTCCATTGGTGCCAGTTGTGTCCTTGGGCAAGACACTTCACCCACCTTGCCTGGTGGTGGTCGGAGGGACCGGTAGCACCTGTGTTCTGCAGCGTGGCCCAGCGCAGCTGTCGCTACAATGTAGTTCATGACCACCAGGGTGTGAGTGTGTGAATGACTGTGATTAACTTGTGTTGTAAAGCACCTTGGGGGGTTGTAGGAATCTAGAAGGCGTTATATAAATGCAGGCCGTTTACAAGATAGGCCTAAAGGAAGGAACCGGGACTAGAATTCTGCAGGCCCTGATGCAGACTCTGTGATTATGTTAGAAGGAAATTAGCTGCATGAACAATTTATTTAAATATGTTCAGAGTTCCCGGAATCTCCCTCCACAAACCAGTTTGCAGTTCGACTCCCAACATGTGAATCCCAGTGGGATTCTGGCATTTCCAAACCTTTAAGACCCACCGAAGCACTTAAAGAGCAAGTCACCCCCTGCCAGAGTCGTACTCCACTCCCACTTCCTGTTTGAAAAATGCAACAAATACTGTTGCTTGGCAGACCGAGAGGGCAGAGCCGCGAACAAATACACGCACACACACAGGCTCACAACGACATTGTGACATCATAATGTACCAGCTAACATCATAGCATACCTCTTAGCCAATAGCGATGGCAGATTTAAATTCAAATACAGTGCAGAATTTTTCCCTGGCGACGGCGCAACACTGCCAGTTTTAGGCAGAGTATTTAAATTTTAACTAAGATGCACTGAAGTGCAAAATTATTGACGACACGTTTCTGCAGCACGATTAGACACTCGTTTATTTAGTTTATCAGCAAAAAAAAGTTTATTTGGGGGTGACTTGCTCGTTAAAGAGCAAGTCACCCCCTACCAGAGTCTTACTCCACTCCCACTTCCTGTTTGAAAAATGCAACAAATGCTGTTTTCAGACCGAGAGGACGGAGCCGCTAACAAATACACACACACACAGGCGCACAATGACATTATGACATAATATGGTACCAGCTAATGTTCTAGGGTGCCTCTTAGCCCATAGCGATGGCAGATTTAAATTCAAATGTGGTGCAGAGTTTTTACCTGACAACGGCACAACTCTGACAGTTTTAGGCAGAAAATTACAATTTTAACTAAAATGCACTAAAGTGCAAAACTGTTGACTACACGTGTCTGCAGCACGATTAGACACACATTTATATAGTTTATCAGAAAAATAAAGTTGATCTGGGGGTGACTTGCTCTTTAAAGACATGATGGAATAAAAGTAAAAGAGAAAATTCAGAATCTGGTTTAAAGGGGAAGTCTTTTACATCAGATGTCCTTGATCTTTGTGCCCAAGTGAATATTTAGTGTCTTTCTTTATTTCTGCAGACGGGAGAGAAATCCGGCCAGGTTGAAAAGTCCAAGAAGAACGCCAGACAGAGGCAGAACGATTTTAAAGTAGGAAGACGTGTAAAGTGTTCTTTTCTTAATTCCTTAAAGTTTCTAGAACATGTTGCATTAAAACCCTGTTGCCTCTTTCACAGAGGATGATTGAAGAGCTAACCAGCAGGCTGGTGAAGTTCATCCGAGGCGCCCTCCTCCCCACCACCATGCCCCCCGCTGAGCTGAGTCTTTATGGAGGCTGGGAGGACAAGGCGGAGCTGACGGGAGCCTGGCTGACCCAAATCATACACATCGTCAGGTTCTCCCTCGTTTGGCTCCTCTAACACGTTTCTTCAGTGGTGGTTTGGAGCTTTGGTCGTAAATGACCTTGGTAATGACCTTCAGGGCTTGTCATGAGGCGCTGTCGGCTCTGGAGATCCCAAACGATTTGCTGCAGGTGATCCAGGATCTGCTGTTCGAGCTGAGAGTTCACTGTCTCATGATGACTCTGCTGCACACGACCGAAGGTGAGACCATCACTCCGTTATAGAAAAATGGCCTGAAATGAGACGTTTCGTTTGGCGGAACGATTCCCGAGGCTTCCGTCGCGTGTTCAGGAAAGGCGTTTAGTGTTTTCAGTCAAAGTCTGAAGCAAGTGGGAGGAATTTCAAATGCAAACCGGCTTATCCAGGAGCTAGGACACAGAATCAGAGAAGGAAAGATGGAATCAACAAAGGTGAACTGTTCAAGTCTCGCGCTAGATTTAGGCGGAGCTAACCAGGGAAATGACTCGTTCGTTGTTTCTTACGGGTTCTTTCATGTCCCATCTCTGCGTTGATGATTAGCCGTCGGGTGGTTTGAGCTCGCCGTTCTCCAGGTTGTGATGAAATTATGAGACCAAAACCAGACAGGTTTCACTTGTGGTTGTGTCTGGTCATTTTGAGAGGAGCGACTGCGGTCTGGGCAGAAAGAAGTGAATTTAAATTCTCTCTGGTTTTAGTTTTTCAGCAATAAACTTCCTGCTGCTGCATAAAGAAAAGCTGCTTTTTCTGTTCTAATTTCTCTTGGTTTTATGCATTTAGACGTGAAGAGGCTTGCTGAGAAGGAAGATTGGGTCGTTGATAACGAGGGAATCACCAGTCTGGTAAGGGCGTGTCGCAGCTCCAAGCAGCAGATTCATGAAACGCTTCCCTTGTTGTTGTTGTTGTTGTTTGGTCTTGCAGCTTGAATGTTTATGCTGGCGTGTCCTTTGGGTAAGACACTTAACCCACCTTCCCTGCTGGTGGCGCCGGTGTTCAGCAGCCTCGCCTAGGGCAGCTGTGGCTACATCGTAGCGCATCACCACTGGCGTGTGAACGGGTGAATGGCTGATTGTGCTGTAAAGCGCCTTGGGGGGTTGTAGAACGCTATGAAGGCGCTACACAAATACAGGCCATTTGTCTAAGTTACAGTTTATTAAAGGGGATAAATGTGTTCATATAATAATTTGACTATTCCCATAAGTTTTCCTCCTTTTGCTGATTTCTTCCTGAAGTCTTTAGTTTTGTTTCCCGTGTCTTCATCCAGAAGCATCTGGTCTGCTCTGATTGGTCAGAAAATAACAGTGCAGAGCAGCGTCTCTTGTTCTGGGATATTAAAGGAGTGGTACACTGACAAAATACTTTTAGTGGTTGTTTCTGATCATGATGGATCACCCTGAGTGTTTCATGCAGGCTGAACATGAAATAGTCTCCTACACCTATCTCCTGCATTAGCTTCTGATAGAAAACAGACGGTGAAACTCTAGGATAGAAAGTCCTGACAGATCTACGTCACACTGTCACCAACATTCATGGACTCACCCATCTGGCCTCACGACGGGGAAGGCTGTTGTTGGTTTAGCGTCCAGGAAACAGCAGAGGACGCCTCGGCTAGTAGAAGCTAACTGTTAACATTAGCAGCTCCACCACACAGCAGAACTCCTCCAGGCTTGTGTTATCTGTGGAGGTAAAACATCAACGTTGCAGAACGCAGTGGTAGAGTCGTGTTGCTGTTAGCCAATCAGAGGAGAGATGTCACGATCTGAAAATGTAACCTCGCGGTTATTGTGACCAAAATTACCACGGTTTTCGGTATTATCGCGGTATTTTTTTAAATGTGTTACATTTTCAAAATAAACCCTGTATATCAGGAAAATATTGTCCTCAGTTTGTGTCTAAATTTAGCCTAAAATGTGTTATTTTGTAATTATGTTGTTTATTTGTTTACATTTTTCCCCTTTAGTCTTTAAAATACCAATATTTGCCCATAACTTCTTATTTTATGTCTGTTTGATGTCATCATTTAAAAATATTAGATCAGATGATACTCAGTACTCAAGTAGCCTTCTAATCAGATACTTTTTTACCCTTACTTGAGTAATAAACCCTATATCAGGAAAGTATTGTCCTCGGTTTGTGTCCTTCCAGTGAGCTTTGCAGATGTGGGAAAATGTCATCAGGCAGTAATCGTTGTTAAATTCATAATTATTCTCGGAGAGAGACCAACTCTTATCTGCCCCTGGGAGCCCCGTAATGCATAGCGTCATTTCAACATGGCGGTGTCCGCGACACGGTTTATATGCAGGTAGCGGCGCTGCGGCTGCTTTATATAGCGACTCGTTGCATTCTCCCTCAACCCAAATCCTCGGATCACGCATTTTAGCTAAAACGCTAATGTTAGCTTGCCTTGCGTTGACTGTAGAGTTGTGGGTGATGGTCACGCAGATGTGTCATGAGATTTGAAGCGCTGCTGCCTTTCACAGACACTTTTTCTGCACGTGCTGCAAACAGGATAGCCGTCTTCTATCAAATGTCCCTCGGCATTCTTCAGATATCCAAAAGATGCCCGTACTTCCCACTTTGTCTTCTTTGAGGGATAATAAATGTCCTGAGCGCTGCCGTCTCCTTCTTTGGCCATTATTTCAGCTTTAGCTTCAAGAAAGTTTTGGTTGTAAACAACAAAGTGCGCATGTGCCGCCGGCAACTTCAGCAGATGATACGGTGGCTGGTAAGGGTCACCGAGCCTACACAGCCACGGTAATCCACCGAGATAATATAGTTTTAAAAAACAAGACGGTTATTATTATTGTCAACTGTTTTTACCGGGGTTTACCGCTACACCGGTTACCGTGACAACCCTAGTCCTGTCGTCTGAAGCTCTCCGCTGGTCTGGTTATCTTTTAGATCCGGAAATCCTTGCCCTACCTGAGATCACTGCAGATGTATTTTAGTCTAGTGGACCACACCTTTAATGAATCATATGAGAGGAATGTGTATGGTACAAAATCTAAACACGTTTTTATTTCATGATTATTTATTAAAGACACTTGAAATAAAATAAAATTGTGTTTTTACAACTTTATTTGTTGCAGAAATTTTCTATTTTCTGATGTTTTAGTCTCAGACTTTTTGACCCAAATTGGATTAATTTAGATAAAAGCTGCTGCTCATAATTGGAATCAGAGAATTTATAATGCTTCAGCTGCCCCGCGTGTTTTAGATGTTGATGCTAATATCAGGCTCCTGTAGAAGAAGATGTTCTCAGAAGCATAGCAAGGTAAAAAGAAACCTTTTTTGTGTTTTAAATAAAGAACCAAACATGGAATTAGGAATCAGACGCAGCAAGAACGTAGCAAAGATGCTCTGAGGAGGGTTTTCAGTGGTTATACCAGGTGTGTTGGAGCAGAGGAGCGACTAACACCTGCAGGGTTGTTTTGCTTTGGTTCTTTTATCCTGTAAACACGTTTAATACGCTCAGATGAGAAGGAGTGACGTTACAATTGGGGTTTTAAATTAGAAATATGCATTCATTTTGTTCTATTTAGAGTTCTAAATTTGTCTTTTTTTTATTTATTTTTTTTGCAGCCTTCCAAGTTTGAACAGTGCATAGTTCAGATGCTGCAGTCCCTCAAAGAGCCTCTGGAAATCAAACCTGGAGAGATCAATGTAAGCTCCAGCTCCAGTGTGGAGGGTTGTTCCTTTGTTAGGACCTTAACCTGTGAGTTTATAATGTTGCCCCCTCCCAGGTGCTGCAGCTAGACCAGGTCCAGGACCAGGCTGCAGAGCTCGGTGTCAGCATCATGAAGGTGAGACCTCTCAGATCCCTTTTTGTTTTTTATTAGACTTTAGTCTCATTTGGTTTGAGGATGTGCTCTGTGCATGTGCAGCTGAGCTGTGACAGTTCTGTCTGGACAGTTGAGTTGCTTCCTGCTGTGAATTTTACAGCAAAGATCTCACCGCATGAAGATTTCTGCTTTTTTGTTCAGTGTTGGAACTAAAATGGTAGTGCCTGTAAAACTGGAGGAATTTAATAAAACGTCTGTAATGCTGCTTATTTATGGGGTGTTAACCATTATAAGACCCAAATCACCCAAGTTTAAGTCAGCATGAACTTGTTTACCTGCTTAAATACATCTGAGAAGGTCAGCATTTGTAGATGTGAAGGGTCTATCCTGGTCTAAGAGCGGCATCTAGAAACGGCATTTTGGTTAAGTTTACATTTTATGTACCAACATCTGAGCAGCCATAGTTCATGTCGACGTTTAATGTTCCTGCTGAGATTAAAGGGGCATTATGGAAGTCTGACAGCCAAAACATGTAGAGAAATAATAAATGTCTTCTTCATACATTCTCCTGCAATGCCCTGGTCCTGTAGAATGAGCCCTGGCATTTTTACTGTGATTGCCTGTTTTTCTGTAAAATCACAGAAAAAGAGAGATGCTCGGGTCGAGCAGGCTGCTTCATGCGCGTTCACGCTCAGGCATCGCCCGTAGCATTTGCTATCCGTAGCTTTAGCAGCAAAGAGAGAGGCAGTGCCACTTTGTCGCTGTTCCTAACGCCTAGTGACAAAGCTAGCTACATTTCTGAGGACCCTTAGCTACTTTCTGTAGAACTTCCTTCTAGATATTTCCTGCAAATTAGCAACAAAATAGCCATTTTCACTCCGAACCGTTCTTTGAACGTTGTTTCAGCTGTCATCAAGGATATAAATGTTACAGATACATCGAATGTTACTGGAGCTTTAGCTCACTTAGTAAGATGTCTGACTCGTGCAGAAGACCCAGGTTCGATTCTGGATGTGAACATAGTTCATTTAGAGTTTCTTTTTTACATTAATGGTATATTTTTTTACAGTAAGATGCCCAAATTTTTATTTGAGACTCGCCGAACGGCATTGAATTCACAGATGAAAAAGATGTGGGTTCAACTTTCATTTTGGAACAATTTTTCAAGCAAGGGAAGGGAATGATCTGAGCATGCAGGAGGACTGACCCATCATAAACCTTCGTCGCTGTGCTGAAGAGAAAGGTACAGAACCACATTATTTAATTAATTAGCTGCGTGTTCTCCTGTCCTCTGTCCTCCGCCCCCCCCCCCCCCCCCCCCCCCCCCCCCACACACACACACACACACACACACGGGACTGTCTCAGCTATTATTTTCGTTAAGGAGTGTGCACGTACAGCATGCGCGCCTCGTGCACGAGCCTACTATTGAAGCTGCCGTTACGCTTTTGGCCTGATGGGCAATCGCGAGCATAAAAATTCAGAAGTCCGTGAAGTCCCTTTAAAGAATTTTAACTTTACCTGCTGGACAGGTGAGACCTGCGGTACTTGTACACAGCAAGGATGGCTTATTACAGTTCTTTGCATCTGAACACAAACTCAAGTGGGTCCCAGGAAAGGCAAGAGTTCGCAGGAGGTCACCACACTAAAGCCAGCATTGGTGTCCAGGGTCGGGGGTTTTGAGATGGAGCGTGGGAGGTCACATTAGTCAGCCATGTTGGTGCAAAACAAATAAATAAGCTTCAGGGAGACCTTTAGAAGGATTTTCTGACAGATGTGACTTTACCCGTCATGACTCAACTTCTGTTCAACCTGAACAAGATTAATAAAACTCAATCCCGGCAGGCAGCAGCCCAACTAACTTCATGCTTTTAATCTTGACCAGTTTGACCTCATTTGCTCTTGCGCCACCACTGAGCGCTGGTTCCAGGCACGGGGATGGGTGTATTTGCTGTCGGTACGGAAGTCTCGTGCACGCTGGTAGCCGCTGTTGGAATGGACGACGTGGGATGAGGGGTAGATGGGCCGCTCCTCCACCATGTCTAGTGGGATGTGGTCAGAATTCCAGGGAAGCTGCTGGTACGGACGGTTGGGCCTCAGGCCCATCAGCTCGGCAACCATCTGAGAGATCCCTGCATCTAGAGAGCTGCCAGAACCCAAGCCAGAGAAGGCTCCGCCACTAGTGAAGCTAGATCCAGCACCTAATCCAGAGTCACCAGGTCCAGCACCCTGCAGCAGATCCAGACCCTGCACCGTAGGGGACTTTCCTCGCAGGGAAACCAGCTCCAGCGCTGAAGAGAAGGAAGCAAATCCAGGAGACGCTGCACAGAGACGGCTGTTAAAGACCAGCACGAACATCAGAGCAACTAAACTTTAGCGATCAAACACCAAACCTCACCTGAGGACAGACTGGAACATCACGTTGGGTCTGAGAATGCAGACAAGCAGAAGAAGCTGAAGAAGGCTTGTGCTGTGATGGCCTTAGGCTGTGGCTGCTCCACCTGGTTAGAGCCACCCGGTGCTGTTAACTCCAGCTTCACCTGCTGCCTGCTACTGAAGTTTGCACTTGTGTGTGTCTGTGTCCAACCCAGGCTTTCATTAACTGTTTGGAGCAGCTGAGCACAAAGACGGATGGAGACTTCGGCGCATCTCGGTGAGTGTTTTAAACACTTTTTTGTTCTTTTTGTCGTTTTCGTCACTGAAAACTCCGTAAAAGCCTCTTTTGCTTGTGCAGCAACGTCTCCGTGGACCTGTCCTCTCCAGATCGATTCGTCGCCATCCCAGAAGGCTTCAGTCCCACATCTGTAAGCACGAAGCAGCTTCCTTAAGTTTGTGGTACAGTCGGGCGTTTACACCGGCGGCGTCACCAGAGCGTGGGCTCGCTGTGCCACGAGGTGACAAACGCGTATCAGTCACTGGAACCACAAAATGTTATCAGGCTGTTTCCTGGTTGTGGACAGGCAGCAGATACGTCCTCGTTTCCTGTAACTTCTCTGACATGCTGGTGAGGGGGGCTCGGCGTAGGGGAGGAGGCGGAAGAGCGGGGTATAGACTGCTTCTGGTAAAGGGAAGTGGAGCAAGGTGCAGATGGGGTTTCCCCACCCCCAAATACACGAGACGGGACTTTGGCAGCTCGTCTCGACAGCGAGTGGACGACCAGCGTTTGGACTGATTTCACTCATGATTCAAGCGGTTGTGTTTGGAGCGTTAGAAAACAGCTCCCAGGGAAGAAACGAGGCTGGGCAGCGATTACTCGCTCTCAGTTCTACTCAGACCGCCGTGGACCACGGCAGGAGGAAGGGACGGCACCGTTTAGGGCTGATGTAAAAACTAACCGCTGCCATTGTGCTTCTGAGCATGACGTGTTCATCTATCAGCATGTTTATGCAAAGTTTCAGGAGCGCTTTTAGGATCGTTTCAGTTGAGAGTGAATAGAAAATGAGCGTTAAATTAAAACCGTTTGAGCTTGGACATGTTTGAGCGCTAGTGGCCAAGCGCCTAAGACGTGTTAAAGCAGCTGCCAGTGAATCATTAGGGTTACCTTGGTAACTGTAAGTCTAAGAAAGAGCAGCGTGAGGCTCTGCTGGTCACACAGCAGGATTTTCTTTGTTTCTGTCAGGTTTTATATTGGAGAAGTCACCTCTTTGAGTTTTGAGGTGACCGCTTACAGCAGCGCGTCCACGCAGCTCGGGAGTTCCTCCTCTGGGCTCAGGTGGAATTTGAGACAAAACCGTGAGTCTACGGGGGGGGGGGGGGGGGGGGGGGCAGCAGCTGGAAGGAGACTAAATCACTGACATTCTGACTATATTAATGCAAGAAGTGAGAGTTAGACTGTGTGACATCATCAACTGTCAGTTTCAGTGAAAAATCTCCACAAACTGTCGAATTGAACTGTGATCATGTAAAAACTGTAAAATATACAAACTATCTGTTCAGTCAAAATCCCACTTCCTGTGACCTGTTTAAACTAAAGGGGGCGGAGCTTTTTCACCTGTTCCACCAGGTTTGGGGGGGGGGGGGGGGGTCCCAGTTATTTGGGCATCTTTATTTATGTACAACACAAATCCTGATTATAGTGCACCTTCCAGCTCAGCCCTTGATAAACCACTCCATCTACGTTCTGACCCTCACAAGTTTTGGGTAAAGACCGAGATCATGGGTACAAGCCACCGACGTGAGTTTTCTCTGCAGGGTGGCTGGACTCTCACTTCTCTCACTTATAGATAGGTTGAGACGCTCGTTCATCTGGGAGGGGCTTGGAGTAGATCCGCTGCTCCTCCTCATCGAGAGGAGCCAGGTGAGGTGGCTTGGGCATCTAGTTGGTATGCCTCCTGGACGCCTCACTGGTGAGGTTTTCCGGGCACGTCCAACCATGATGAGCACTTGAGGAAGACCCAGGACACGCTGGACGGAATATCTCTCGGCTGGCCAGGGAACGCCTTAGGATTCCCCCGCAGGAGCTGGCCCGAGTAGCTGGAGAGAGGGAAGTCTGGGTCTCTTGACTTAGGCTGCTGCCCCCGCCATCCGACCCCAGATAAGCGAACAAGCATGGGTGGATGTTAACGATTAAATTATTCAATTTGTTTACGTATTTTAAATAATTTGTGAGTTTTTTTATGTGCAAACAAACAAAATCAAAATACGGATTTTTGTTTGTAAACCTCTGAAGCTTCAGTTGACTAAAACATCTAAAGTGTGTGTGTGTGTGTGTGTGTGTGTGTGCGTGTGTGCGTGCGTGCGTGCGTGCGTGTGTGTGTGTGTGTGTGTTTACAGGAGCAGCGTTTGCTCATCATCCTCAGTAACTGTCAGTACCTGGAGAGACGGACCTTCCTGAACCTGGCCGATCGCTTTGAGAAGCACGGCTTCACGGGGACGGAGAAGATCACGCAGGTCGGTGTTAGGAACCGCGTCTGATAAGAAGCTCACGCGGGTGTCACTAACTATAAACCCGATCAGTCTTTCTCAGCAACGAGATGACTCGTCGTCATCCAAAACAACGCACACGTCAAAGCTCCGTTCCCTCTTCAGCCTTTTCTTCTCTTCACACACACACACACACACACACACACACACACACACACACACACACACACACACGATGACTAATGGCTGAATCACAGAGCAAATAAAGCTCAGTTGGTTTTCCTGTAAAACAGTCAAATTTCTCTTTGAAAGCTCAAATTAGAGCTTCCTTTAGGTGAACACCCGATATGACGGATGACAGTTTAAAGTTTGTATAAATATTTGTAACTATAGCTATGAAAGTTCACGAGAAACTGAAAAAAATCCCCCTTTCTGCTCATTTGACCTCAGGAAATAGTGTTGCGGTAGAAAAGAGGATGCATGGTTTAACGATTTAAAGCAGAAATTCACTAATTCATTAGCTAGAATTGGTCTTTGGAGGAGTTAAAGTGCAGATGAGTGAATCTGTGCACCAGTGCAGATGTTTCAGTTGAATCCATTCACACACACAGACCAGCATCCGGCTCACAAGGCTCCCCGTCTCCATTTGGCAGTTATTTGCACCACACACTCGTAGCCTTAGATGATAAATGACCCGTGCTTGTATAGCGCCTCTCAGAGTAAGGACTCCAAAGCTCTTTACACTACAGTGTATCATTCATCCATTCACACACACATTCACACACTGGTGGTGATGAGCTACGATGTAGCCACAGCTGCCCTAGGGCGCACTGACAGAGGCGAGGCTGCACACTTTCTCCAAGTGCACTTTGCCGAAGGCCGCAGGGCGAGTATTGGGATTGGGCCCTCACCTCCCAGCAGCCAATCAGGTGGTGTGTGTGTGTGTGTGGGCGTGGTCAGCAGCAGCTTGTTTTTCTTAAAGTGACAGAGCCCTGAAACAGCTCATTTTGGAAGGTACTGAAAATGTCAGTAAGACTGCTGAAATAGCTTCATGTGAGGGATTTGGTGACAAGAACCTCATTAGCATGTATGATTTAGATGATAGAACTGTTAAAGCTCGTGTCCTCTCCTCGTCTTCAAACCGACCCACAGGTGAGTGTGGACGCTGTCCGGGAGCTGGACAGGAAACTTTTCGAAGCCTACATCGAGAGACGAGCCGACCCGATCGCGGGATCGCTGGAGCCCGGCATCTACGCGGGGTATTTCGACTGGAGAGACTGCCAGACGCCCGCAGGTAAAAAGCCTCGACACGCTGCATCCAGTAAAACCTCAGCCGCAGAAACCACCAACTGACCCCGGTGGCATGCAGAAGCCTCCAAGAGCGGTGTTGCACGAGAGCGGGTCGTTGCTGCTCTGATCCGCACAGTTGTGGCTCACCTGTGTCATGGGACGGGCAGGGCTCTTTGATGGCTTGCTGTAAATGCCGCTGAGCTCATTCTGCTATCGTGGCCTTTGTGCTGAGCTGTGGGGGTGTTTCTGCACACCGGTTTACTCTGACTTTCTCAGCAGAATCCCACCAAAGGCAGGTGAAACCTAAAAGGCGAACGTGTGGTTTGCCTTCACCTCAGCTCTCAGGTGGGCTGCAGACCTTTAAATCCCGTCGTGATGAACCCCTGGAGCTGGGCCGCAGCCTCGGGGACTGTGTGTGTTCGGGCTGCATGTGAAAGCGGAACTTTCTGGACACTAAACCACACTTCTAGGATATGATACTTTCACTTGTTGCTCTCTCTCTGTGTGGGACTCGTGTTGGTGTGTGGAGTGCTGCAAGGCACTCAAAATCCGGTTTCAGTACTTTCTTTCTGTTGCTGCGTTTGGTTGTTTCGCTGTCGGAGTTCGCTAGGTTTAAACCTTCCAGCAGCTCCGTTTGTTCTGATCTTCAAGCGTAAATCAGAGTTTCATAGCGCTTGTGGCTCCATGTGTGTTATGTTTTATGTTTATTGCAAAACAAGAACATTTGTCATACAATGATCGTGTTTAGTTGTATTTTTCTGGCAAGTTAACTAACTGAATTAGGATTTGATGATTCTGACTTGCCTACAGAAACCTCTGACCCCGGTTTCACGCTGCAAGCATCAGCGGAACGGAACGGCAGCGAAGCGGCACCGCTTCGAACAGAATCCAGTTAAAGTCTATGGAGTGTGGCGCGTCCCAGAAGCGGCATGCCGCGCCTCGCCGCTGAAGATGGAATCGAGTTCTGTTTTTATCGCGAGTCGCTTCTGGGACACGTCAGTTTCCGCAGTTCGCATAGTGCGAGACAGGAAACCACACACGGTTTCAGGGTAAAATCCCCGGTTATTTTCAAAATAAAGTGCAACGTTGCGATGTTATATATAACTTACGTCAGCACGTGTGACAGAACGGCTTTGTTTACCGCCAGTTTCTTTCGAGAAGTGCAACGGTGTGATTCCTCGCGGGGGTTGTGATCTCTCGATGAGGAAGGTGTCGGAAGTCCCAAGGCATTTTCGAATCTCGCGGGTACAGAATCCAAATTTGCGTGGCGGCCGCCCCAGCCTGATTTCACTCTGCCCCCAGCTATATGGATGTTATTTTAACTGCAGTTGCAGCGTTGCACCACTAGGGGTGCTGTATCAGCAGCGGTGCACCAAAAAGCATTAAAACTGCTGCAGACAAAGATCAAAACTAGCTTTTCTGGCTAGTTGGTACATATTTATGGTTGGTGCTATTGACGTCCTGATTTCCCCCAGGCTCTTCCTCAGAGCAGGGCTGTTAAGTGTTGTCTGTGCGTGTCTGTCTATTTTTAAACGTAGCACTGGTGCAACATCTTCGAATTACTATTCTCCCCAGAACTTTATTGAACAAAAGTAAGTTACGTGTAAGAAAAATGCTTTTTACTGGCGCACAGTGTGGTCATCTGGATGCAGTGGAGGAAAATAAAGGAACCAGCAAAGGCAGAACCGGTCCAAAGTTTGGGATCAAAAGTGCAGCTACACGCAGATTGGCTAATGCTAAAGCTAACGGGTAGCAGTCTCACGATCAAGTGGCGCACAGAAAAATACATGATGATCGTAAAACTAAGAAAGACTCAACTCTACACGCGGATGAAAAGTCCCCACCATCCTGATTATTATGCATCCTGCAGTGTTATGGATCAGAACCGCTGCACACAGAAGCAGGATGTACGGCAAGCCGTTGTAGTATATAATTCACAAACACTTCTATCTTTGAATATAATTTTAACTGGATTATTGCCAACCCGTACATAATAGACATGCCACCATTACATAGTTAGCAGCAGAAATGAAATGTTATTACCATTTCCAACACAAATGCATGTTAATGAAAAGCATTTTATTTTACTGGTTATATTTATGTGTTACTTTGACTAAGATGAGTGAAATTAAACAAACCTAAAATGTTGCTGAAATGTAGGTCAAATATTTAAAAACATTTTAACTATAAATATCAGATGGGAAAAAGGAACTAAACACCAATCTGATGCATATTATTGAGCCTTTCACAATAAGAGTCTGTTATTTCAGCCTGATCATTTAGTTGTTTTATTTCATATTTTTTAGCAGCAAACCTGTTTTGTTTCACTTGAAACGTTGTCAAATGGAATATTCAATCAACAGCAGCTTAGATTAGAACACTTAACGAAAACATATTTTGCCTTTAAAAAAGTGAGGCAGTTGAGTACGCGTGTGCTGGCGCACGGTCAGGATGGTACCACCTCTGCCTCAGTTTGAGCCAGGAAAACCCCTGCACACACACACACACACACACACACACGTGTCGTTTTTGTCCTCGAAGCAGATTTCCTCTGCGACAGATACTTTTTAGGCCATCGAGGCTTGCTGCCGCTGCCACCTTTATGTCCGTACCGGATCATAGTGAAATCGTGTATCTTCTCATCTTAGAGCTCCGACCTTCTTCTGCTCTGATTTGGGTCTTCTGACTTCATGTTCTCAGACATGCATTCATCAAAAATGTTCATGTGGTCCTGGTTATCGGATATTTTCTTATTGGTGCCAAAAATCTGTACATATGTTGGAGGGGAAAAGGCGGTCAAGCGTGCGGTACTCCATTACTATGCGTGACCTGAAGGTCGAGGCCTGTAGCAGTTTTTGAGGCTGTAGATGGTTCGGCAGCCGTGTTGATTATCTGTGTTTTTGTGTGTCTGCAGGTGTGAGGGACTACCTGAAAGAAGCTCTTGTGAACATCATTGCTGTTCATGCTGAGGTGCAGACTCACTTACAGTAGACCTCTGAGGCCCGATTCACACGGCAAGATCATTTTTGCTGATTTTTGACCCGATGCTCCTCCTCCAACAGTCTTAAGGACACGCCTGACTGTCGTGAAGACTCTGAACTTAAACTTATCTCTTGTTCCTGCAGTGTGGGTAGGTGTGCTCGGGTCTGTTCAGACGCATGTCGGGACCGCTCCAAGTGCCGTGTTGTCTCTGATCTCTAGTACAAACAAGCTTATGCCTGTTGAATGTGGCTTGTAGCCAATCAGAAAGCTAGGTGACAGAATCGCGCGGCACGGAGCTGTGTGAATCCAAATCCTCCTCGTCTGCCATGTTTGTTTCATCTGAAGACCTTTTATCTCAGGAGTTCAGACAGTTTTCTCGTCTGACCAGGGAATGGCTGCGGGTCAGATTGTAGCTGAACGCCACTCACTGTAGGACCCAAACTATTTATGTGTGGTCGCTCGTGTTTTTGAAATCTTCCAACCCTTTTAAAGTCTTCTGTGTGAGTCGGACCCAGTGCATACACCACAAACCTTTTCTTTGAGCTTTCCGCCTTCGCAGGTCTCACCAGCTTCAAAACCTTCCGCTCCGCAGGTCTTCACCGTCTCCAAGGACCTGGTTCCTCGGGTTTTGTCTAAAATTGTGGAATCGGTTGCGGAGGAGATGTGCCGTCTGATGCAGTGTGTGTCGTCCTTGAGTAAAAACGGAGCCCTGCAGGTACACACTGACATGCTCGCACCAACCACCACTCATACTAAGACCCTGACTCATAGTGTGTGTGTGTGTGTGGGGGGGGGGGGGGGGGGATCCACCTGCTGTTTCTTATAATGCCACTGCAAACTGTTGATTTTGTGTTTTCCTTTTTTGTAAACCTCCACCCCGCCCTGGTCTACGCTCAGGCCCGACTCGAGCTCTGCGCCCTGAGGGACGCCGTAGCCACATACCTAAACCCTGATAGCGAGTGAGTACAGCCCTGATGATTTATGACGCAGAGTGTCACACACACATAAATCCTAACAGGCGCACATCCCTCACCGCAATCCCTATGTATGCTAGTTGGTGGGTTAAGGGGAGGAAGTGAAAGTAATCTGGTTGTGTTGTGTGCCTGCTCTGTGGTGTGTCGTGTGCGTTCGTGGAAGTAGGCCAGCGTGCACGTCAGGATGCACACATAGACTCGCCCTGAACTGCATTCTCTCAGGCTCAAGTGTTGATAAATGTGAAATCGATTTCAGCTCCAGCTTCAAACTGGCTCTGGAGTCCCTGCCTCAGCTGCACAGCGGAGCCGATAAGAAGTGAGCCTCGTTCTCTTCCTGTTGCCTCGTGAACGCCCGTCTGGTTTTAAACTGGCGTTTGCACTTTTCACACGCAGGTTGCTGGAGGATCTGCTGAACAGCTTTAAGAGCAGCATGCAGCTCCAGCTCACCTGCTTCCAGCCGCCCAACATCCAGCCTGTGAAGAGATGATCTCACGCGTCTGCGTGCGATCAGCCGACAAGCTGCTCAGCTTGCACCGTTTCCTTTGCTCCTTTTATTTAGCACCACCCTCAATTTCTGCTTCAGTAGATGAACACAGTGGCTACACGTCTCATCTCTAAGACACCAAATGAGTGCGTTTCGTTGTTACTGTGCAGGACGGCCCCTGCTGAGTGTGTCATGCTAATCATGCGTGGCTACGGAGTTCGTGTCTGACGTGGATGTAGTCTTCTCTCACAGATTCCGTTGTTACAATCAAACGTTGTAATTTATCCTTCGTCGTTTGTTTCACCCAATAAAATGAGCAACGTCTCTACGAAGGTGTGTCGGGCTAGCTGTTTTACACCATTTAGAATCAAGTCTCTTGGTTTTCTAAGATTAATGTGTTCACACATGCACATGCTGATCATTAAATTAGAATATCATGCCAAAATGTGTTTATTTCAGTAACTCCGTTCAAAAAGAGAAACTTGTATATTAGTGTTATTGTCCAGAAAGGGTACATTTTGACCTATTTATTGACTTACATAGTGACCGGTCATCAGACATGAGTCCACTATCTAGGTGGATTGACTGTTCTATCTTCTGACACCCAGAAGATTCTGCAGTGCTTGTTGACGGTCCATGAAGACAAGATTGTCAGCCTGGGTCTCCAAACAAAGGCTGTCCTCTTATCTCAGACTGCTGGATTCCACACTAAATGATAAATGACCCGCACTTGTATAGCACCTTTCAGAGTAAGGACTCCAAAGCGCTTCACAGTGTGTCATTCATCCATTCACACACACACATTCACACACTGAATAAGAAGTGAACTTTTACAACTCATAAGTTAAATAATCATGTGGTTGAATGAACCAGATGTTACCCCGGCTTTCCACGGGAGCCGTCAGCAGCACGTTACTGCAGCAGCACGTCATAGCTGCTGATAGGAACCGCTGTGGTCAACAGAACCTTTTCCACCGGAGCCGTCAGCAGCGCGAGTCGGCCGCGTCTCAGGAGCAGCATGTCGCGGCCTTTACGCGCCGGTTCTATTTTCTACACGCGACGCCTCTGAAACGGGTCAAGTTCGACATTTTTGGGGAAGGAAAGACAGGAAATCGGACGCGGAAATGGAGCGAAGCTCCCGAGATTTTCAGAATAAAGAACGTACTGCCTTCCGGTTGCTTTACTTTAAAAAAAAGGTTACTAACTGTGCGGCCCCGTGAGAAGTTATCACCTAGCTAGCGGTCTCCTTTGTTTTTCAGGTCCGTATTGGCGATTATAAAACGGACAGAACATAAAACACAAACCATGTTGTAGTTTTCTCCTGCTTGTTGTTGTGTTTACTGACGAAGTCACTCGTGTGACTTCGTGCTCGGTCGGTGACAGCTGCTCCCCTGCTGCTTCGCGTCTCGTGGGAAGGGCCAAGCAGCAGCTTACGCGAGCAAGACGTGCTGCTGCAGTAACGTGCTGCTGACGGCTCCCGTGGAAACCCGGGGTTATATGAAATGTTTGAATAAGCTGTGCCTAATTCAGTGACGTTGAAATGAATATTATTATTAAAATGATCCCTTTATGTCTTGTGATCAGTACTGTTTGATTTAACAAGTGAATCATCATCTACACTCACTATGTTCATTAGTTGCAAATTAAGGTTAAGGTCACCTCCCATAAAGTTTAAAGATTCTTCATCTACATAACTAGAACATCTTGTATCTGGAAGGTGTGTTTTCTGAGGGATGTTTGATAAAGACTACAAACATGTCAAATTCTGATTCACCAGAAATAACAAGTGGATTATTAAAACAAGAGTGACTTCCCGAGTTACTCGGTTTCGAGCGGAACTCCGAAGTGGCCAACTCGTAACCAGCCTCCTTGAAACACCTCTCTCTCTCTTTGACACACAGTCAAACCTGTTGGCACACTGCCAGCTGACACAGCCATCCGGCTCCTTAAGAGCACATCCGTGTTAGACGCAACAAACCTTCCTGCCTGTTGTGACCTGGAGACATCTCGTCGTACCGCGGCTAATCTACGAACTTCGGTGCCTTGAGGTCCACCCGACTTCCTGACATTCCGGTTCTGACCGGGGGTCTCCGCTAGGGTTTGTAGACACAACAGATTGCGTCTGATGTTGTTTTATTAAAATCAACTCTCTAGTTTATAGCAGACAAATTCTTTTACACCCAGATTTCACAATCTCTTTCAGATACAAAGGTTCTGATATACATCTACACCAAACCACCTACAACACACATTACATAACCGCATATACACTCCATCACATTCATAGCTTGTCATGTATTATCTTTAGTTTAGAAAAGAATAAATTCCTTTTAACTATACCCTTGACTCTGCTGAATTAATACGAAGTGTGTTTATGGTCCCTGAACAAGCAAAGAACCCTAAACTCTTCTGGTTAAACATTCAGAGATCAATCAGGTTGATATTTCATATTTATATGGAATCATCCCGTCTTATTGGTCATAATTAAATATGCAGTCATTACGCTATCAAGTGTGACGCTACATTAGATTCATTCATAACACAAAGACTGATATATTTCAAATGTTCTTTTAATTTTGATGATTACAAATGACAGCTAATGAAAATCCCAAATAACATCTCAAAATATTAGAATATAGGTTCAATATAGAAGAAAGACCCCTGGTGCCACACTCTAATCAGCTAATTGCCTGCAAAAGCCCTTAAATGGTCTCTCGGTCTAGTTCTGTAGGCTAGACAATCATGGGAAAGACTGCTGACTTGACAGTTGTCCAAAAGACGACCATTGACACCTTGCACAAGGAGGGCAAGACACAAAAGGCCATGTCTAAAGAGGCTGGCTGCTCACAGAGCTCTGTGTCCAAGCACATAACCAAAGGGGCGAAGGGAAGAACAAGATGTGCTAGAAAAAGTGTTCAAGCAGTAGAGATAACCTCACCCTGGAGAGGAAGGTGAAACACAAGCCGTTCAAAAATGTGGGGAGGTTCACAAAGAGTGGACTGCAGCTAGAGTCAGAGCTTCAAGAACCGCCACACACAGACGTATGCAAGACAGGTTTCAGCTGTCGCATTCCTTGTGTCGAGCCACTCTTGAACAACAGACAGCCTCAGAAGTGTCTCACCTGGGCTGAAGACAAAAAGGACGGGACTGCTGCTGAGTGGTCCAATTTTGTCCTCTGGTCAAAGAAATTTAGCACTTTCTCTGGAAACCAAAGTCCCAGAGTCTGGAGGAAGAGAGGAGAGGCACAGAGTCCACTTTGCTTGAGGTCCAGTGTAACGTTTCCACAGTCAGCGATGGTTTGGGGTGCTGGTGGTGGTCCATTGTGTTTCTGAGGTCCAAGGTCAGCGCAGCTGTTAACCAGGAAGTTTTAGGGCACTTCATGCTTTCTGCGGCTGACCAACTTTATGGAGATGCAGATTTCCTTTCCCATCAGGACTTGGGAGCTGCACACAGAGCCAATGCTACCAGTGCCCAGTTTAAGCACCGTGGTATCTCTGTTCTTGATTGGCCAGCAAACTGGCCTGACCGTAACCCCATAGAAGATCTATGAGTATTGTGAAGAGGATGATGTAACACACAGACCCAACAATTCAGAAGAGCTGAAGGCCACTGTCAGAGCAGCATGGGCTCTCACAACACCTGAGCCGTGCCACAGACTGATCCGGGCCAAAGGAGCTCCAACTAAATACTGAGGGCTTCTCAGCTGACCAACGTTTCTAAAATTCCTTTTGTTGCATCGTCTTAGTTTATATTCTGATATTCTGGGATACAGAATTAGGGATTTTCATTCGTTGTCAGTTATAATCATCAGAAATAAGCATTTGAAATATATCGGTCTGTGTGAAGAATTAATCTAATATACAAGTTTCGCTCTTTGAATGGAGTTACTGAAATAAGTCAATGTCGTGATGTTCTGATTTTATGACCAACACCTAGCTGTGACTCTTTTTGCATCGTTCTTTTGAGTTAATTAATGTTTTTTTATTTTTGAGCAACAACTCAACTTTCAGTTGACTTTAACCTGAAACCTGAATGCTTCTGAAACAAGAAGTAGGATTTTGACTTTTCAGGGAAATGTTTCAGTAGAGGAAGGAGAACCAGATCTGTCATCTTCACCCTCTTTGCTCGGTCGCTTGTCAAACACCTGGGTCCAAATTTTCTCAGACTGCATTGGTTAGCGTTAGGGAAACAGCAGCCATGTTTAGGTTCACATTCATCACATCAGCAGAACCCATAGATATTTTTGCAGGACCCAGCTCACAGCATCACATTGAGTCTCGTCTCCACAGTGTCTTCTTCTCAGAGTTGTCTTAGCCGAACAACACAACCAAAATATGACAATTATAAAAACTATCCCACGCCACCGTTTCTTTAGTTCAAGCGTTCTAGAGAGGTCTCGGACCGGCCATCCGCACTTCCTCTTCAGCCATAAAGAACCTCGGCAAGCTGGATAAAATCTGTTGTAAGTTACACCTGACCGCAACGGTTCCTTCAGAATAAAAGCTGAACCTCACGACCCCTTCAGGGTCTCGGAGACGCCAGTGATATGACTTTAATCTAGTTGCACTAGACATCCTGATCACACGTAATGTAAACGCACGACACATTGCTCTTTCTCATCCAATCGGAGCCTTCCTTTCTGAAGCGTGGCATAGTCTCTGTGGTGTTTATAAATCTGTCCAACTTTGATTCGACCAGAAATCAAAACATCCAAATTAATAAAACCAGTCCCCACACCATCTTAGATCAGTTCACCACATTCTAAGAGAAGTATCGGACCGGCCACCCGGACTTCCTTTTTAAGCAAAGAACCAACAAGCTGGATAAAATCTGTTGCATTTTACCAACCAAGCGATAGTTCCTTTCAGAATAAAAGCTGAACTCACTGACCCTCCGGGTCCATCTGACACTGTCAACCAATTGTCGCTTTTTACCTGGAGACAATCCAAAGACTAGTCTGTCGTACAGCTGGAGCTGTTTCATCGGCCCCGGTACCGAAAGGGGGGTCCGAGGACCTGGCAGTCTGGATCTGTACGGAGGTCTCATCCTGAAGGGTATGTGTGGAGCGACAATATGGTGTCTTCTGTGTTTATGAAACTCCGATCATAGCTGAAGAGCAAAACATCAAAACATCATTCAGACTTGCTTCTCCGGATACGAGAGTTCTGATGACAACATCACTCACACACACACCATCCATCTCACGTCTCATTCACACCAAGATCCATCCATTCACTTAGAATTTAGAGGTAGTCTTGTTTAAAATTGTTTAGAAATAAATCTTCTTAAACTTTTAAAGGTGACTCTCTCTTCTCTTGTCTCTCAGTT